GCACTCGCTTGCAAGCATAGTGCCCTAGCGACACGCCGTCTAACACATGTTTCACGAGCAAGACAACGCCTTTTCCACCTTTGCCTAGTATACTCTCCTCGACAAAGAACTTCTTAAAGTAATTGGGTGTGAATGCCCCCGACGATATACCCTGGGATGCGGACGTTCCGCCACTTGGTTCACTGGTGGGGCCGTCTGGAAGAGCTGGCTGGACGAGGCGTCGGTGGGGAGATGATGAAGTTGACGAAGTCGCAGAGCTAGGTAAGCTTCTATGAAGCATGCGGAAATAATCGGGGTTGATAAACTCGGGCTGCCCTCCGGGACTTGTATGACGACCTTCCTGCCCCCCGCCGCTGTCATGCAGCGGACGATGGCAATAGGGACAGTCAGTCAAGTCAATATCGGCATTGGTCTCGGTAGCATTTTGGAGAACCAGCTGCTGAGAGTCACGGTCAAAAACCACGACCGAGTCATTATGGCGTCTGCCACACAATGACCGTTAGAATCATGTTTACCAGTTAGGACCGAAGTCATCTTACAGTACGACATCAAGATTAGAAGATCCGTAGGGTACAATGGACATGCCGTCGTCCGCCATGTTTAAAGAGCACGCACATCTCTTGAATTAGGAAAACAAGAAAATATCATTGTCGGGGGAGAGTTTGGAGAAAAATAAGATAAGCAAAAGATGCTTTTGGTGCATGCAGGAGAGCTATGATGAAAGTGAGGCTGGGGCGGCCCCACGTGAGCTACGGCGGTGAAGCACTAGCGCATAGACCATATTTCAAGTACTACTGCAGAATGTATGCACGTCTCGTACCATTTCATATCATAAATGATTGTTTTCAAAGCTATGTGGGTATCTATAGTGAGTTGTAATGGTGTACATGACCTAAAAAAGCAATTCATGCCTTGAATGCACTGATTGCGGCAGAATCTCGCCCAGGTAGTACGTCCAAGTATGTCGTATAAACAACGACAGGATGGGGTTGACACCGACTTCCAGGGTTCTCGACTCGAAAGACCTGCGCCCAGGGTCGTCAGACCTGGTCGGTGAGGTCTTAACCTGATTGCGAAGCGGCGTAGTCGGACATGCTCCGACGGGGTTGCTGAAGAGTGGATCAGCGGAAGCCTGCAGCTTCTGTTTCAGTGGCTTGATGGGTAAATAATAGGAGCCAGCACTAGCTCAGTCATTCTCCTCTCCACTCTCCTCGTCGCTGACTTCAAGGTTTGCGATGGAGTCATTGTCATCATCATCACTTTCGCCGAAGCCCTCAAACTCTCCATCAGATGTAGAACCAGACTTGGCTTCACTCTTCTCTGCTTCTTCTGAAACTGCGTCAATTTTCCGCTTCCGACCCATTTCACCGAGTCTGCCTTCACGGCCGTTAATCTTTTCACCCTCCTCACCGGGTGTGTGAGGTGGTGGGGTAAACCATGGGATCTTGCCTCTGAGGAAATCATTGATCACCATCTTGGCGACACCGTCAAGGTCGGGCTCTCCTCCACGGAGTAACCTTCCACCCTTACGTGCAAGAATAGCCAAGAACTCCAAAGGATCATCAGAGCCTCTCACACCGTAAGTACGTTCAAGGTGTTTGGGCTGAACCCGTTTGAGAACAGCAGGAATGTACTGTTCAGGATTCTCTACATTCTCGACACGACAAACACCACGAAGCAGGATATCTTCGGGCGTGTCGTTTTGGTTCGGGGGGACCACACCGGGACAGTCGATGAGGTAGATCCTCTTCATCAGAGTGATATACTGCCAGACCTTTGTCTCACCGGGAATGGGGGCCACAGTGCACACCTTCTTTTTGCGCAATGTGTTGATGATAGAGGATTTACCCGTGTTCGGATAGCCAATGAATCCTACAGAGATCTGCTTCCTTTCCGAGTGAAGAGCGGAAAACTGTCTCAAGAGTTGGATCAAAGAGCCTTTGCCGAATGAATTATTGATGGAGGCATGGAAAGCCAACGTCGGATGGTCTTTAGACAAGTGTCGCACCCAGGCCGCCTGGTGTTTTCGTTAGCATTCGAACACCAGTAAACACGAGAGTTAGAACAATGCAAGAATAGTTCAACAGTAGAATGTGTGTAACGTTACTAAGAGACCTGCTACGAAGCAGCCGGATGGCTGAAGCAGGACTCAACTCAAAAACGGAGCACAGCTCGGCCCTTACGACAAGCTTTCAAAACGAAAACCCATCAGCCTAGCTTCAGAAAGAAGGTCGGCGCGGGCCAGCGTCAATCTACCAAAGCTGTAACAGACAGACTCCCATGGAGAATAGCACGACATGTAGTCGTTGGAAGAAGCCTTGACTTAGCAATGGCACAGGCATCATAGCCTGATGGATGGAAAAGGTATGACAATGAACAAGAAATAGAAAAGGACAAAAGGGTAGTAAGAGGGGAGAACTGGGAATCTTACCGCTACGCCTGTTGGGACAAGGTCACACTTATTGAGCACAAAAATCAAGTGCTTGTGAGGTGCCTCCTCACGGATGTACTTTTCAATACTCCTGCAACGTGTACCTTCAGGGTCACGGGCATCAATGACGTGGATGACAACATCCGAGGAATCGATGACTTTGTAAAGCTCGTTCCAGATTCGCTTACTCTGACCCTTTGAGAAGACTGACTCAACTGCGGTGGTCGTCGTACTATGCGCACCGTCTTGTGCAGCAGAAACATCTCCAGAGACGGCGAGCGAACCATCCGCATGAGTCTGGTGATCGGACTTCTCAACATAGGCATCATGCATCTTGGCCGTCTCGCCAGCCAAGTCTTCCAGTGATGCAACACCCAGCTTAACACGTTTCCTCTGAGCCTTGGGCCCAAATGTATCACTATATGGGTTGGTCTCAATGGCCATCTTCGCTTGATGCTGTTTCAGCCCATTCACACCTTGACCGTCTCTGATCAGGCTCATGGGAAGCTTGTTGGTTTTGAGGAGAACTTGGTACGGGTCCGAAGCACGCTCAGCAACCGCCTCACGGAACGAGGACAGCGCCTCCTGGGATATCACTCTTGTGTTGCCAAACCATTTACGGTTGGGTTCTATCCTTGCAACGGGAGCCTCTTTAGACTGATACGAAGCGGCGACGGTGATGTTACCTTCAGCGTCACGCCGAGGTTTACCATCCTTGTACATATTCAGCCGCTTCACCTTCTTTGCATCTCTTCATGAAGTTAGCCGACGAACAAATCAGCAAGTTATGATGGGATAGCTGACCTGTAAAAATTTTCACCCTTGACCCTGACATTACCCATGCCATCTCCAACCTTCCCCTGCCGCTCCCGGCGAGTGGCCTCTTTCTTTCCTGTACCCATAATGAATTCTAGTCCCTGAGCTGGGATTTATATGGAAATAAATCTCAAGGCAGGGGTAGAGAAATAAAGTTGGCAGAGCGCAGGAAGAAGAAGAGGAAAAGAAAAAAAAGTTCATAGTCCGAAAGAAATTATTTTTTCGGGGCGGCAGCCAAGCTAATGGGTGCACGGACCATTTGCGAGAAAATCGCTTCGATCTTTTTCCGGCCCTCGCAACAGAACCGCGTCTCTCATCGTCCGGTCCGGGTCCCCGAATTGCGGATGGAGACATGATTTATTCGAGTTAAATTTGTCTAAACGTTTGAATATTTGTCACTTTTCTTAGATTCGACTGCTATTCCTGGTCTTGGTGGAGTAAACGGTAGTGTTTACCATGTCTCTCTTCCGCAGTTGCAGGACTGCCTCCGTGCAAGCCCGTGGCTTCACCTCCTCGGCCTCTCTTCGAATCGGACCAGAGTCGCCCAATTTCGTCGATATCCCTCGTACCATTCAACCAGACCTTCCTTCAAAGCAACATGTGAAGGGTACCCTTCCTGTTCCTCGCGAAATTTTCCCCGTTCGCAGAGCGGACAAGCCGTCCGAGGAGTATATTGCTGCCGCAACACCCCTTCCTTCTAAAGACACAAATGTCGACCCGAACGACCCCCATGCCCAATATATCAACTGGAAGCGCCGGATGGCAGAGATGAGAAGGCAAAACCTCAGGGAAGGTCTCCTGGAGTTGCACAGCCGGAAGCAGCGGACGGATAAGTCGATGATGCAGCGGAGTTCCGAGAAGCAGAAACGGCGAGAGCGCATTTTCCGGCAGCCAGAGAGAGAGGATGAGCGATTGACCCGTCCTTCGGTCATCCAGGAGATGCTGCCTAAGCGCACCCCGGTGCTACCTGACCCCAACCGGGAAGAGCGTCTCGCTCTCTCCAAGGCTCGGATGGAGGCTGCGAACTCACAGAAACAAGCTGAACAGCAGGACTCTCTGCAAACGCTTTACATGAATGCTCGGAACTTTATCACTACCGAAGCTCAGCTCGCAGCTGAGATTGACCGCGTGTTCCCTGAGGGTGAGAACGAAGCTTGGCGCAATGACCACCAGCAGGGCGAGAATGTCTGGAACTTGGGCCTACCCCCAACCGTCCAGTCTATCGTCAATGAGTCTAGGAAGAGCGAGGCGGCTCGCTGGGATCTTATCCAGGGCAGAGTCAAGAAGTTGGGCGAGCAGATCACGGGGGGCAAGTTGTGAATGTCATGACGAGTTGTGTTTAGACCATTGTATATTACTCTAAGTTATTGAGCTGATACTCTTTCTTTTCTGTACACCTAGTCCTAGTCGACATTTGGCATCAATATGTTTGTCTTTTATAACTAAAGAACGCGTAGATAATTTAAGGGATTTGTTCCATCCGTATTGCGGCTGTATAATCAACCATTACTGCATCTTTTAAAATACATTTCAATGGGCATAACTCCTTCGGAGTAGCTGGACATGCTGCAATCATTTTAGAGGGTTGAGAAAGTCAGAAGGTATGTCTAGTATGGTGGAACCTTTGCATGATACTTTTCCACGAGATGGAAGTGAGGTAGCGGTTACAACGCCAAGTGTATTGCGAACATTCTGCTTTAAACCGATATTAATTTTCTTTGATTTGAGGGCCTGACAGGCAATTAAAGAATACAAGAAAGCAGCAGGATAAAAGTATTGTTAAAGGTGGTGGTATGCTAAACCAATATAGACAAGAGAAATGCCCTTCTTCCAACATATAGAGAACGCCATCGCTATGCACCTAACCCAATGCGTCGTAGATGTCTTAACATCGAAACAAGATAAATCTATACCAAAAGTACCAACCTCTCCACTAAGATTCTGGGCAAATTACACATTGCCTGCGGGGCCGCTCGAAGCCGCAGCCATGGCGCCACCTTCTGTTGCAACTGCATTCGTATTAGCCACTTCCCGTTCTGATACCTCTTCATCGATGAAGCATCCTAGCCCTGCGAATGCCTCGAGCAGTGTGCGCGAATAGTACTCTTTAAGATCATATCCGCCAGCCTGCATACGAGTATCTTGTCTAATAGGGTCAAGGTAACTGGATGGGTAGAAGTCTCGCAAGGTGAAGTAGTCCCGTTTGTCCGGAATTAGTCCACCGAATGGATCGTAAGGCTTCTCAGGCTCCGGTGTCTGGATTCTCTTGAGGCCCTTAATAAGACCAGTATCACCGGCATCACCAGCCTTATCGGTTGCTGTAACCCCAGCTTGTCCAGCCTTTCTAGCATCCGAGTTACGTAGGGCAGCTTGCTTCTGTCGAATACGGTCCTCTTCACTTCGTCTAGCAGACGACTTTTTGAGTAGGACTTTCTGGCCTTCGCGTGCAATAGTGGCAGCATCTGCTGGGCGTCCAGCGGCAAGACGGCTGAGAACATCTTCTCGTCCAGCAAGAAGCTCCCGGCGCTCATTCTCGTACTCCTGTCTTACTGCCTCCCTGCGGAGACGGGCCAACTCCTGCTCTTGAGTCTGTCTTGCCTGGAAAGAAGAAGCTTCCTGAGCCTCCAAGGCTTGGTTGGCGCGGATAGAGCGCATATTCTCTTGTGCATATCTCTGGAGATCGGCTTCGGTTTTGGCTACGTCGGTGCCATGGACAAGATTCGCGATGATCTCCTCGCGTTGTTCGAGAAAGTCATCCCAGGCTCGCTTCGAGTCAAATTCCTCTTCGCGACGGTTGAGACTGTAACCGTTAGATATTTCACTTTCCTACCATGTGCATGATAGTGTATACCGACATACATTTGCATGACTCTGCGCCGTATATCAACCTCCCGTTCTACGTTTATATCTTCGAACGTCTGTTTTCGAAATCGATTCTTTCGTAAGGTCTTGTGGCACCCGGCTACAGGACAGTTGGCGGGACCCGAAGAGAAAATACGATCCACGCATGATTCACACATCTTGTGATAACATTCTGGATTGATGAGGAATTGCATGTCCGGATTCAAGTACCGCGAGGATTTGCAGACGGGGCAGACCTCTGAAAAGATATTAGCGTAGGAGTACCTTGGGAACTGACAGTCCAAAACATACCGTCCTCATCCCCACGGTTCTGTATCGACTCGCGAGAGGGCGCCATATTGTTGGATGGTGCTGAATTACAAGAATGGTGACAGTGATGTCGAGACCTTTGGGCGTTTGGTTCCAATGTACCTAAATCCAGCTGCTCGCACGGACCAATCAAAAGCTCCGGTGACCGTTCCGCGCGGCGGAACTTTTTTCTTTGCCCCCGCGGCGATTCCATTTCTCTCCCCTTCTACATTTTTTTTCTTCTTTGTGCCCCTTTGCTTGGTTTTGGTACCTCTAAATTTTATATCACCACCCGCGACTGAGTGCCCAAGATGGGTGTTCCCGGTAGCAATTTACAAGACCTTGAGCGTCAACGCCTCGAGCTCGAGGGCAACATCTTGAAACTACAGGAATCTCTTTATCATTGGAGAACCTGGGAGGCCGAGTACGATGCCTTGAAGGACGAAATAAGCGAGCTTGATGACGATGCCACAATGGATGACTTCCTTCGAATAGGCCGCGACTTTGGTGGATCGCTAGTCACCGAAGATGAAGTCAAGGTGATACTCGGAGAGAAACAAGGTGTGGCCAGGACCAAACAACAGGTCATCGATCTTGTGTCGAGGCGAGTCGACTACGTGAAACAGAACGTTACGACTATGGAAAAGCGACTACGTTCGGTAGAGAACCAACTACACGCATTTGACTCTGCTGAGCAATTACCAACCGAACCCACCTCGGACTTTCCCATGACGGAGATTGTTGAGGAACTCGATGAGGATGGCAATGTGATCTCGAGCTCAACTGCGACGCCCGGAGATCAGGCGCCAGAGCTCTTGGAGCTTCTCAAGAAGGCAGGCGTGAATGATGTCCCCGACGCCCCGAACGCAAATGCGCAGCCCGGATACAAAGCGAAGGATGGGTCCAGCTCAGCAGACAAAGAACATGGAGATATCTCGGAGAAGCCCAGCTTACGAGAGACCAACGGAAGCTCCGTGGCTTATTCTGAAGAGAAGCCGGCGGCGTCCGACTTGGCGACTGAAAAGCAGGAGGAGCTGCCTGTTACGGATATCGATGAATCTCCGGAGGATGCCAAGTTACGCCGTGAGATGCTGCAGTACCAACTCAATGAAGTTGGAGCTGTTGTGGCTGAGCTTGAACTGGACGAAGATGCAAGTGACATATCCATAGATGATGACTACGATGCTTTCGCGTATGACGATGAAGATGAGGAGGAAGATGAGTACGGACGGAGTACCCGGACTGTTCTGAGCGAGGATTATCATCAACAGATGCGTGAGCTAGAAGCCAAGTTAAATGCTCGAGGAATGTGGAATATGGGCAAAGACACAGGCTCGCTGCCCGTGGAAGTCCAGAAAGAACTTGAGCAGCCCAGTATGGTCCGGATTGAGAAGAGCACCGAGACCGTGAATGAACCAGCTCCAGAGAAGAAGCCAAAAAAGAAAGTCGCTTTCGCCGATGATCTTGATATTGCTCCAGCCCCTAAGCCCCCAATTGTGGAGAAGAAGGCTGTCGCGCCTCGGCAATCGGATGTGCCTGTCCTTTCTGATGCGGTTGTCGAGCGTACACAATCAACTGTGAAGGACCCCATCACGAATGATGTTCCAAAGAAAACGTCTCGCTTCAAGAGTGCTCGAAGCACTACCGGCAGCGAGAACAGTATTCGACCTACCGAGGCACGCTCTTCACTCCGCAAACCGATCACGTCACCATCCCCTACATTGCCTTTGTTCCCTGCTAAGCCATCTGAACCTAAACCCTTCTCTCAGCCGATCTCAGATATCACAGAAGCGCCCCGAGGCCCGGAGGGGAAGATCTTAGCCGACACACTCGTTGAGCACGAGGTCTCTCAAGGCGCCGCCATGCCGCCTGAGCTAGATGAAATCGATGAGCAGATACACAGGAAGGAGATTGCAAGCGAGTTTTATCGGATACGAAACAGGATGATCCAGCAAAACGGCGGCTTCGTTGGGGGGGAGGAGCCGGAAACGGTGCCTATCGAAACCGAAGACCCTCCGAAGCGGGTGAGCAGATTCCGAGCTGCTCGGATGACTTAGTTATGAAGACAATAGAACAGATACCCTTATTCACTTGTATTTAAGCGCTCCCCATCTACGTTTCAAGACCCGTAGCAACGGAATTATACTTGCCATCGGCCCTTTTCGAAGGGTACTTGGCCAGATGGGCATACCTTTTCAATGGTATACCCATTAAATAAGTTCCAATATAAAATTGGGGGCTCTCTGACTCCTCTTCTTTCGATGTCATTACTGGAGGTATTGGGCTCAATCGAGTACTTACAGACAGTGGTGGTGTGGAACAAATGAAGTGTGGTTTTCGTTTCACCCTCAACATAACAGTAAAATCCATCATTAACATAAAAAAAATAGTTAGTTGCTTTGGGGATCATTCAAGTGTGATACACTAAAGAACCGCACGGCAAATGAACAGTGGTCTCTAGATTTCTTAGTTTTTTTTATTATCTTCACTTTTTTCTGCCTCTCGTTTCTTATTTGTTGTAAAAGTTTTGCCAAGTGCGTCGTTATATAATTCAGACAATTGTTCATAATTTTGTGAATCCGTAAACTTAGTTGAAGCTAAAAATATATATCTGACCCCAGCATATAAATCTACTCGCAGAAAGTTTCTTACTGCGGAGTGACCAAAAAAGTGAGAAACCATGACAAAAAGCAAAGAAAAGAAAAGAAAAGAAAAGAAAAGAAAAGAAAAGAAAATCTTATTGATTGACCAAACTGTCCAACAGACAGACTAGGTGCTTCAATATCTATACGACTGCCATATCAGAACACAGGAACAGTGGTATTGTCACACGGCTTGCCATACTGGAAAATGTTTACACTCGACGGTCTTCAGACCTTGATAGGTCTGAAGTTGCCATAACTTCGTATGTGCATCGACTATAATTGTATATGAACAAAATGTTCTATACTGCGACATCTTCTACCCCCAGTGGAGTACGAAATTGATATAGAGAACCCCAGTGCCTGTTCTTCTTCCTCTTTTTTTTTTTTTTTTCATTGGTTTCACCTTTTGAGACATAGGGAACACCTTCCTTACACTACGTAGGATGGACATATTCTACCGAATAGATTAATGTCTTGGGAAACTGAAATGCAAGGGTTTTGATGTGATGTATGACACTTGATTTGAGACTGGTGGGTTTCGCCTATTGAGTCCTCGCTTGATGAGTCAGGAACACAATACGAGGCACTGTGTTCTCTCCCAATTAGTCCATATGTGGCGTGTGATGGCGTACCAACGGAGTTGAGTTTTGGAGAAGTAGCCCTAGCACGTCCCTGATTACGCACGCATATGCAGAGCCCTGCTCCCCCCGGATGTTGGGGTCCCGCATAGCCGCAGAGAAGACAAAAAGTCCGACGAAGAGAAGACTCGACGACTAACCGGCATTCGCTGCCTTGAAATGTAAGAGCCACACCATGCCACTTCTGCTGGGGCCATGACTGTCTTGGCTGTCTAGGCTGACGGCAAGTTTACATTTCTTGAGATGCTTGTCTCGACTGGAGGGAAGTCTAATGCACGCCACTGTCGATGACGGCGGGGGCTTTCTAGCTAGTACGCTTCTCAGTTCATTGGTATGATGGAAATAAGAATTAACGGCGCGCTGTTCAGGGTAGTTGAATCTAACGGACAGAAGCCCAAGTAGCCAATCGTACTGCTTATCGAATGAAGAGTTTTCAGATAGATGTTTCAGATGTGTTGAGTAAAGAATGGGTTCCTGGGCCATGTATCCTCTAAAGGGAATATGGGGAACGCCTGGACGCTAGAAAAACAGAACGGGGCTGTTCCATAGTACCAAGAGGCATGGATTCTATGTGGAGTAAATCCGAACCAAGGTCGTCCACCCATCGGGGGAAAAGCCTGCAGGGTGAGAGCACATACTGTGTACAACAAGATGCCTGGGCAATTCAACAATATGACTGGTTTGGGCTACTTTCAGCCGTGGTTCTATATATACACGAGGGTGGTGATAGTTGTCTGAGGCAATGATTGCATAATGTTCATGACTAGTTGGGAGGTTGCCTAGCGAGAATGATATCCTAGGAAATCAACAATCCGACATTACGTGGCGAGCCTGATCGACGTTAAGACCTTCCCCATTGACAGGGACTGAGCCGTTTAGTTGACCATCGATATCGGTCACATTTGGATGATGACTGGCTAGCTCGAAAGAGGAATAGCCAACAGGAAGATGTATTACCATTCGCTAAGTGTGACGCCACGCCCCACTTTGTTCTATTCGGGGAAATAGTTTCCCCATTCCACTTCAGTCCACTCTTCGTTCTTCAAACTTGATACACTTTGTTTAATCCACCATGAAAAGGACTTACACGCACTGTTCAGAGTTAGTATCCATGCTGTTGGCGACGGCTTATGGACCGAGTTAACTACAACCGACAGAGGCCTCTCACGCTTCACAGTATGTAGTGTAAGAACCCATGGTCAACAACAACATCATGATGCAAGGTCTTGAGGGACTCCGGGAATATCCTCCATCTCGTCTCTGGAGGCGTTATAAAGTTCGGTACGTTTTTGATCGGGATGTCCATTCCGTCTACGCAGTAGAGTGCCTTAGTCAGTTGTGGTAGTTATGAATAGAATCGGCGATCCATGGTGGCCTCCAGATATCTTGAGCCTGTGTTTGGTCAAAATGAGAGCTGTACCGTGGATGGTGGACTATTGCCACTTGGGTTTGCTACGAGTGCCTTTTTTGAACCATGTAATTGTGGTCATAGATCAGGGCATGGCGTCCGATGGGGCTGGGATCCACCGTGGGCCCATTGTTCTACACTGCTTTTGGCCACTGATATGGCTTGGATCTCATAGCCAACGCTCAGATTGTTTCCTCTATGGGAATGCTTCTCCACGGCGATTTTTCTCTGTATGACGTCGTCATCATTTCCTTGCAATTCCGAAGCTTCCAGGCCTGACCGGCTTCGCCGGACAGTTGTCAGCTTGTTTATCCAGTCAATTGCGCCTCCATCCCACCTGTCCATGGTTCAGTACTTCTGCATTATGCATTGTGACTGGCCATATCTGTTTCTATTTATTCGATCTACATGTGGAGCTGGTAGCCTTAAATTCGACTCACTTACTTCGTCCAGTATACCGGACCTTTTATGACGTTTCTTGACGTGTCCACCTTTCTTTATAAATATGGCTTACCCTGCTCTTGTTTATACTTCTCAACTCAATCTCAATAATCTCACGACGGTCTTTACTACTAAGACTTGACTGCTCCATTCGTTTTCACAAAGTGGCTTCATTCGCTTATCTTACTATGAAGAACTTCGCTACCGTTGCGGCATTCGCTGCTGGTGCGAATGCCCTTATTGGCAGGAGTAACAGTTGTTGCTTTCACCTGACTGCATCCGGAGGCGCTTCTGGGACTGTCGGACAGCTTGACGACGGACAGAACCGCATCCATGGTGGACTGGGGGAAGCAGAGTTCTGTATCGACTCCAATGGTGCTCTCACTGATGGAAACGGTCGTGGATGCATTATTACTGGTACGGAAAGACTTCGCAAGCCTTGATAATACTCTTGATCAACTAACAAGTCCTGTAGGTCCAACTACACAGTTCCAGTGCGATGAAGGGGCTACTCCCGTGACTGGTTGGTCTATCGACTCTCAGGGCCAAGTCTCGTACAATGGTGATGCGGATTTTGTTGCATGCGCGACTGGCCAGAATGGCGGGTTGAATATCTATACCACAGAGAGCTCTGATGTGACTGGATGCCAGGATATCAAGTTGTCTGCCGATTCTTGCTCTAGCTCTGCTTCTAGCTCTAGCTCAGTCGCCGTCCCTGGCTCCAGCACTCCTATCCCTGGCCCATCATCTAGTGCTTCTGTACCTGTTGTGCCTGGTCCATCCTCTAGCGCCCCTGTTCCTGGATCCAGTGGATCTGTTGTCACCATTCACACGACTGTGACCTCGACTTACTGCCCCGAGTCATCGACTGTGCCTGGTATTCCCGGCACCCCGGGCACTCCAGGTGTTCCTGGAACGTCTGGTACTCCTGGTACTCCCGGTGTCCCTGGCACATCCAGTGTTCCGGTCATTCCCGGCACATCTGGCACCCCTGGTGTCCCTGGAACTTCGAGTGGCCAGCCCTCCCAGACTGTGACTAGTGCTCAGCCGTCTGGTACTTCCACTGCGGGTGGGAGTTGCCCCACGGATCTCTCTGGCGAATATGAATATCCTCACTTGATCATCCCTATCGACTCTACCTCACCCGATACGGCTGCTGGCACGTCTTTCAATGGCACCATCTCGTCCACCGTGTCGACCATTTTCAATTTTGATATCCCCTCCTCTGACGCTGGAAAGACGTGCAGCCTTGTCTTCCTCTTCCCCAAGAAGGAGGATCTTGAGACCTCGTCTTACTCCTTCAGCGGCGACGGCAAGGTTGACTTCTCTTCCCTCCAATCCGCTGCTACCCAGTCTACCACCTACAACAACGCCCCGGCAGTGAAGGAAGACTATGGGGACTTCACTATCTCTCCCGGTAACTCCTACCTCATCTCCACCTTTGAGTGCCCGGCTGGCCAGGCCGTCGGCTACGAAATAAAGAACTCTGGCAGCACCGAACTGAATTTCTTTGAGGACTACAACCCATCCCCGTAAGTTTGCCTGCATTATTGGTCCAACAGAGGTAATGGCTAACAAATACATTCTAGTCTCGGTCTGTACATCACTGTCTGCTAGAGTAAGCGGACTAGAGTTAACAGTCTGACATAATGCGAACATGATTCACGGACTCATTGTGTTTAATCATTCGAAAATATTCTTTTTATATTTCAGCAAGGTTGTTTCCTTTCAGTGGTCAGGCTGGACAGATATTCTAATGCGGTTTTCGAATGGGCAAAAATTTCCTTAACTTTGTGGTTGTTCTTGAAGTGTATATTGCAATGCTCAAGGGCTTATTTACTCGAATATAATCCACCTCTTATATTCTATTTTGCAGGAAAATAAACTGGTGGTACCAAGAGCGACCGTGTCGTGAGTAAGAATCTTCTCGGTGAAGTCAATCGTGAGGTCAACAAAGTTGAGGCATAATGCTAAGACTTTAATAAGCATTGCTTTCCTTTTTGAGTTCCCAGAGGGGGAAAACCCAATTTGCTGACAACCGGTGAAACCTCCCAAGTGGGTAATTATGGAGATCAACAGACGAGCCATTATTCTTTACGCAAGCTTTCGCGACCAGGCAACATGGCAAGGTACTAAGTGAATCAATACACGAACCAATACATGACCTGCGAATATAGCTGCCTATGGAGGGGGAATATAGAGTGTATCCACACCATTTCTCTTCATTTAAAAAAAAATAGCATGGTAACTAGTTGGCATGAATATTCCACTGTGTTCTGCTCAGGGTCCTGGGTGTGGATCTGCAGTGGTTTCCATTTTGTGGTTTAGTATAGTTTGGGGCCGCGAGTCTGGGCGCTTCTCGACCTCTAATTTAACTCGCGTGCCCACAAGTGAAAGAGGTCCAAGCCATCCAAGCCACTTCACTTGCCCGTTGCCTTAGGCGGCACCCAATTGAGGTAAATCCGCGACCAACTTAACATGACCCTTTTGTCTTCTTCCTTGTATCCAGATTTTCGTTTCTTTGAACTTCTTCTTTTCTTTTCTTTTGTGCTTACATGAACTCTCACCTCATTTTGGGGGCTACATTCCTTCATTGATTATCCGGCTGTCACCGCGCAGGATCACGGTTACCTGGAATTATCCTCCTGGTGTGCAGCGCTAAAGCTGCCTAGCATCTCAGGTGTGTTCACCGCAGCTATAACGAGTCACTGTCTCTGGCTGTACAGAGTAGCTGACAAAACTCTGATTCTCAGGGCTCCTCTCTGGAAATTCATGATTATCTTTGATCCCAACGAATCTCCACCACAATGGGCCACCTTCCCTCCAAACTGCCGTTCTCAAAGCGGCGGCTAAGGCCGCGCATTATTATCTCGTGGGTCTCGGTCTAATTATGCTTCATGAATATCCTGCGCGTGTTGCTAACCATGATTCGGCATTTGCAGATACATCCTTGACTATGTAATCCTCATGTTCGTGCACCCCAGACCGGCTGTTAGACACCTCCGAGGTCATGCTAACGAGATAATGTCACGATTGCAGCGCATGTATTGCCGGGTTTTACATCATCGACTCTCTCGAGCCTTATCATCAGCCTTTCTCCTTGAACAATATATCCCTTATGTACCCTTACGCTGTCCATGAGCGCGTGTCCATCCCACTCGCCCTTTGTATCTCCGGTGTGGGTCCTTTGATTATAATTGCGGTCTATACGCTCTTGATCGATGGGTTGTTCTCTCATCACAAGCCTGTTGACCCAACTTCTGGAAAAAGGAAGCTGACAGGCCCATACCGGTTTAAGGACCGACTATGGGAATTCAATTGCGGATTTCTTGGCCTTCTACTGTCCCAAGGTCTTGCGTTTCTCATAACCCAAGTTCTCAAAAATGCTTGCGGCAAACCCAGACCAGATATCATCGATCGATGCCAACCCCGAGCAGGAAGTGAGGATCCATTCCGTGGCTTGTCAAATTACACAATCTGTACGGGTGATCCGGCGATCATCAAGGATGGCTTTCGTTCTTGGCCTTCAGGTATGATCTTATCTTTTGGAATATGACCTTATTTTCTGGATGCTAATTCGTTTTGTAGGACACAGCAGCTGTGAGCAACCCTCTATATTTGGAGGTGATCTTTTACTGACATCGTTTTAGCTTCCTTTGCCGGACTGTTTTATCTGACACTGTGGCTTTGCGGGAAGCTGCATTTCATGGACAACCGCGGTGAGGTATGGAAGGCGATAATAATCATTATTCCTTCTATTGGTGCCACTCTTATCGCAGTGAGTCGGATTATGGACGCGAGGCACCATCCCTTTGATGTGATTACTGGCTCGCTTCTGGGCATTGTCTGTGCCTATATCGCATACCGCCAGTACTTCCCCTCGATCACAGAGCCTTGGAAAAAGGGGCGAGCTTATCCGATTCGGTCTTGGGGTAGAGACCCTGTCGCCCCAAGCGATACTGCCCCTCTTGTGGCCACTAACGAAAGCACTGTCGCTCTACGGAATCCCGAGGAGGAGAGGCTTGATGCATCCGGCGTACCTGACACTAGAGACCCCACTCAATTACGCGCCTCAAGGTATATGCCTCCAGCTAGCAACCCATATGCCACGAATATGTATACGCGTGATGATGACGGACATTGGTCGTCTTCAAGTGAAGATGTTGCAGATGGATATGAAATGCAACATGGCTACGCTCAGACACAAAATCCGACAAACGGCGGACATCTTCCTCGCTACGAGACGGATACGTCGTATCACTCCCAGATGCAACCCCAAGTTACAGGTGTCAGTGCGCCTTATCCACCACCAGTAACGACTGTTCGCTCTGGCGGCGAACGGGAATTGACGGACGTACCACCGCGAGCATTTTGAGATGAACCTTGGAAAAAACATTCTGGCTTGCAGCCAGTGCCACGAACATCATGACTTTCGTTTGGATAATGTGAGGGGAATTTAAGAGTATTTACGAAATTTTCACAACTCTTTGGGGTTAGGTTATGACCATAGTTGGATACTTCTCGGAGCTTGGCTGGTATAAATACCCAGGAAAAGATATTCTGATTTCTAGACATCGCAACTGATTTGTATTGTCATCTTCTGTGATACCGCATGAACATGTATGAATAATAGCGTTTGGCACGATACATTCTTTTCCCCGGTCACCTGTCTACTTGATAGTTTTAAGATGCGATAAAAATAAGCGATAGATAAGCTAGGTCATCAACCATGGCTCTAGAACCTCGTGGCCGCCCCACGTCCCAAACAAACAATGCCGTCCGTGAGCGAGTGCTTGCTCGCAGATGCACCACGAGGACTATGGGCAGTGTTGTTATTTCCTATTGACCAGAATTTGTACGAGGTCGCACTAATCGTTTTAAAGTCATGTTTTCTAGGGTACTACTCCACCGTTTTACCGTTTGTTGGGCGCAATGTTCCCGTTTCCCAGCCACCCCGCAGTCGCATTTTACCAGCCACCTTCATTCGACTATGACCCCAACTTGCATTACTTTTCTTCTTATTTTCCTTCCATTAAGCCCCCTTACTCTGAACCCTGCATAACTGTCTCTGCATAGAATCTGGCTCTGTCTTGCCTCGTGCGATTGAGTTGGCGAGTTGAAAACCATACGGTCCATCTCCCGGTCAACGCCAGGTCCCCATTTCAATCTCGCGACGGCCCATTATACGAGAACCTATTCATCACATCTGGATGACGCTATAGCTACTCAGCTACGACCATTCAAGATTCTTCTTACATCAACATCGAGTATCGCTATTCAAATCTCGTTCTTGTTATAAGCTAGCACCGACGATCGTCGTGTGGAAAGGCTACCAAGATGATCGGCAGTTTTTTCTTCATTTGCAATCGCCTCGTGGAGATTATTTTCCTGATACCAATCATTGGAATGCTGGTAAGGCTGACATACCAGGCGCACCCGCCTCTTTTCACTAGCATGGGCCTAGATTCTAACATCCAAACAGGCTTACTTTATCGACGGATATCTCAAGGCCAATGTGATCACCCCGACCTACATCCTCGTACTTTTCATCGTCAGCACTATCGCAGTCTTCTGGTGCTTTGACACATTAATCCGTCATGCGACCACTAAGCGCTCAGCCGCCTTTGTCGCTTTTGTCGACCTCCTCTTCTTCGGCGCTTTCATTGCAGGGGTCTACCAACTGCGCTTCATCGCAAATGCCAACTGCTCCCATTGGGATGGGGGCTCTGTGTGGGTCTCCCTTGGCCCCTTTGGAGCCTATGGTTACCGCACAGGCAACCCGCTGGCCCTTCAGGTCAACAAACATTGTGCGATGTTGAAGACCTGCTTTGCGCTGGGCATCATGGAAGTTGTGTTCTTCTTCTGGACCGCCTTTTGGGCGCTTTTCATGCACACCCGGTCTGATGTGGTTGTTAAGGAGACAACGACAATTCGGAGGAGAAGTCACAGCAGTCGGCGTGGACATGGACACCGTCGGAGCTCCAGCCATCGCCGGCCGCAATATGTGGTCTAATCTTATTTCCTCCATTTCACCTATCTTTCCTCATTACTTTCCTCAGGCAGTTTATGATTTACGGATACGACTTGGATGACATAGATAATGGGAAGCGGAAAGCACTAAAGGAAAAAAAAAAATCGGAGAAAACAGAAAAGTGAAAAAGGAAAAAGGAAAAAAAAAAAGGGAAAACGGAAAATGAAACAACGCCCCCATCGGGAGAGAGACAAAGGCTGGTAATGAAACTACGAGATGTGACAGTGATGTGATGATTATGATACTATTTGGAAGACAACACGCTTTCTGTTTATTGAATTTTGGACTCCATAGCGGCGTTCGCCCGTGCCGGGTGCTCTTCTTTGACCCTGTGATGCTCTGTATACGCTGCTTTGGGGCCAGACGTCCCACAGGCTCAACCAGATTCAGCCTGATTTTGCACAGCCTTTTCTTTCCTTGTGATATTATGACTCAAGATTTTTATCTAATTGACCTTTCAAACATAATTCAGAGCATGCTTTCACCTAAGCACTAGGCCGTCAGCCAGACGACTAGGTACCCGAGTATATATCGATTGGTCCGGAATGGGATTTTCAGGTAGCACATGTGGATTACCGGGAAGATCCCTACATTAGCTCGTGAGCATGTAGAGTATAGTTCATTTAGGGACGAACTGCTCAGGCAGCCTCAAGCAGGGTGACTGGATTGTGATAGAAGTATATAGTTCCCGTTAGCGTGGCGGGTATTCCTCCAATCTACGTTCCCAGAGACGGTGGTCTCCGATCGCCCCGCGACCGATAAGGGCCCCATGAACAGTGGGGCAGCTGAAGTCCCGTCACATCTCTTCTCATCATCAATGTGACTGCTGGTTGAAATCCTCATCCTACTCTGAATCCAGCGTGATGCAGGTTCTAGGGTTACATGCCCCTCTATCCGACACCCCGAATTGTCAGCTCCGAATTGTCAGCTCCTTATTGCTGCGACGAGAGACCAAAATTGGGACCGAGGGGTTCTACCTCGGTGACCTCCGATGGCGACTTCCATGCACGTATCAGCACCTCCGCCTCCTGCCTATCCACCGCTAATCCACGACATATCACGATCTCTAGACCAAGTTACACTCATAGCACCTGGATCACATTGCATCATCAGCATCTACGGCTATCACGCCTGATGTTGTCTCCAAGAGTTCGAATGACGATTGGCCAGGCCCAACGTTCTATCCCTCCCAAGGTCACCTGTCGCCACTGATCCTTACGCCCTACCGGCACATTTCTTCCTCAACTCGGGTATTTATAAAGACCGCTTGCTGCTGGCAAGAGACACTGGCACTGCTCAAATATCTTTGACATTATCACTGCGTGAAAACATGCAAGCCAAAAGCAAAACCGAGAACCGTGCCGAATACTGTACCGGGTACTCGGAGGACGTGGACGTCATCCGAGAGCGGGAGTATCCCTTCCTCAAAGGTGGGCCTCTGCGACAGAACTCTAGAAGTCGGAGGCATATCTAGGACTGTGCTAACATTGGTATCAAGATACGACTTACTTAGACCATGCCGGCACAACGTTGTATCCCAAGTCGTTGATCGACTCCTTCGCACGCGACCTGACTTCGAACCTTTTCGGCAATCCTCATTCTCGATCTGCATCATCCCAGCTGTCTACACAGCGCATAGATGATATCCGCCTCAGGGCACTTCGCTTTTTTAATGCGGACCCGGATGAGTTTGACCTCGTATTCGTAGCGAATGCTACAGCTGCCATTAAGCTAGTGGCGGATGTGTTCCGGGACTCATCGCCACAGGGGTTTTGGTATGGATACTTTATAGATGCGCATACGAGCCTGGTAGGAGCGCGGGAGATTGCGGAAAAGGGGCATAGATGCTTCCTGACCGGTGGTGAGGTTGAGCAATGGATATCGGAGTTGGTCACCGATCAAAAGAACTTCCCCAGGCTATTTGCATACCCTGGGCAGTCCAATTTGAACGGTCGTCGCTGTCCTATGCAGTGGTGTAAGAAGATACGGGATGGGAGTTCAAACGCGGCAAATGTTTATACCCTGCTTGATGCTGCATCGCTCGTTTCCACTTCACCCTTGGACCTGAGTGATGCATCTGCTGCGCCTGATTTTACAGCACTCAGTTTCTATAAAATTTTCGGATTTCCCGATCTTGGCGCCCTGATCGTGCGCAAAAGTGCGGCAGGCATTATTGCGAAACGCAAGTTCTTCGGCGGCGGGACAGTTGATATGGTTCTGGCCCAAGGAACACCATGGCATGCAAAGAAATCCACGATCCACGAGCGCTTAGAGGATGGTACTTTGCCGTTCCATAATATTATTGCGCTTGATTCTGCGTTGTCTGCACATGAACGTCTTTTTGGATCGATGGGCAACGTCTCGTCCCACACACGCTACCTGGCAAAGCGGCTACACAACCGGTTGGCCGCGATGACCCATTTCAATGGGAAGAAAGTTTGTCATTTGTATATGTCCCCAGAATCAGACTTTGACAATCTCACGCAAGGGCCGATCATTGCGTTCAACATACGGAATAGCTCTGGTGCGTGGATTGGAAAGTCTGAAGTTGAGAGGCTCGCGAATGTCAAGAAGATACATATCCGGTCAGGATCTCACTGCAACCCGGGAGGAACGGCAACTAGCCTTGGCTGGACTGGGCCTGAATTGCTCCGTAACTTCTCCGCTGGACTGCGCTGTGGTGATGATCACGACGTCATGGATGGGAGGCCGACTGGCATCTTAAGAGTCAGTCTCGGTGCGGTCTCCAACCTCAGAGATATTGACACATTCACGAGGTTCATTGACGAGTTTTACATTGAAAAGGCGCCGGAATGTATATCTCTGGTCCCACCGATGGAAGTTAGCTTGCAAGAGCCCAGCTTCTACGTGGAGAGCCTATCAGTGTATCCGATCAAGAGCTGTGGAGCGTTCAAGGTTCCCGATGATCAACGCTGGGAGATCAAAAGGGAAGGTCTCGCATGGGATCGAGAATGGTGTCTTATCCATCAAGGTACTGGCGCCGCTCTCAGTATGAAGAAATATCCCCTCATGGCGCTGATACGGCCGGCCATTGACCTGGAGCGTGGTGTCCTTCGTATTACCTGCGGGTCGGACCCAAAAGAGCTGGAGGTCTCTCTCCGCCGCGAAATCACTAATCTAGTTACCACCTCTCTGTGTCAGAGCGCGAAATCCTCTAACGTCTGTGGTGACCGAGTGGTCGTCCAGGCATATTCCTCACCTGCCGTAGCCTCTTTCTTCTCTAACTTCCTTGGTGTACCGTGTACACTTGCAAGGTTCCCGCCACAAATCTCCACTAGGATTTCAAATCCCACTCGTTCGTCTAGAAGAAGCCAGAGAGCCCTCATGCCTGGCTCTTTCCCAGAAGACCCATCACCGACGCCTGAACAACCACCTATACTCCTATCCAACGAGAGCCCAATCCTCCTCATTTCTCGCTCGTCAGTCAATCGCCTGAACGAAAACATCAAGTACAGCCCTAGACCCAGCCACAGCACTCCAGCAAGGGCCGTAGAAGCCGATGTTTTCCGCGCCAACATTGTGGTCGCCGAGAATCTTCACCGGCTAGCTAACGCCGAGCGTCCATATATAGAAGACACCTGGGAGTCATTCTCTATTGGACCGGAACAGTTGGACTTTGATGTGCTCGGATCATGTCAACGGTGCCAGATGGTCTGCGTTGACCCTTATACTGGCACCCGTCGAGAGGAGCCTTATTCGACACTGGTGAAGACTAGGAAGATCAACAGTAAGATCGTGTTTGGAAGGCACGCTTCTCTATCTAAAATGGAGCTTTTGCAGGATGCTGGTAATCCTAAATCTTGCACTGTTATGGTAGGGGATGTTGTGACGCCGCAGATTTCTTAAATTAGTCGTACGTAAAGAATTAATACATCACTCTTAAAGTCTTTGCTCTCCCGATAGAGAATCGTCCATCAAGAAAAACATAGTAGCTAGCATCATTTATCGAAAGATGGACAGTGCGTCTACGTCCAATGTGTAAGTTTAATGAATATCTATTTGTACATATATGAGAACAAGAACTCCCGTCCAAACCCCGACAATGATCAATGGAGCCGTGCGATCTGAGGACCGGCAAAAGATATAACATTACATAAAATCTCACAGTAGCGAAAATGGTATCCAAGAATGCATTTACCTCTTGGGCCATTGTTTCCAGCCACGACCGTGACCTCTCTGCGAGCCAAAACGTCAGCGTCTGAGGAAACCTGTCCCGTCCAAATTGAAAACTCACCTGCTTCCACAAACGAATCATCTCCGGCATCTCCATCATAGCTTTGCGTCTCTCCTCCAAGCGAGACTCCATCGTCCGCTCCCACTTGTGACCCTTGACCTTCTGTCCAATACCGGTACCCTTGATCTGTAATCCGCGCTCTTCCCTTCTCGTCTCCTTAAACTCGGTGGATTTGCGGCCTGGAGGTAGTAGAGCCTCAACGTTGTACTTTTTGGCCAGGTTCACCAGATCGGCCTGTGTCCGAAGTCCATATCGGGGGCCAATCCATTTGCCCGTGCGGAAGTTCTTGCGAGGCAAGAATGGGTTGGGATGATCTGGGTCGGAGTAAAGAAGAGATCGGGACGGAGAGGACTCGGTGGGGTCTGGCCGCTTGTGGCCTTTCGCGTCTCTGTTGGGTGTGTAGGGCGATGGCAGAGACTCTGCATTGACTTCTCCTGTGGGCTCTGGGCGTGGTGCCACGGCCGCGGAATAGATTTGCGGAGGATAGCGGGCAAAGAAGTTGCGTAGTCGTTGAGGAAGCTTGCTCACCAAGCTGCCAGCTGCTTGGGTGGTCGACATAGTGGAAGGTTTTGTCGCACCTGCTCGTTTCCGGGGCGAGACAAAATTCCGATCGGGTCAGAGGGTGAGAATGGGTTCTCGTTGATTTGATCACGGGGAGTGCTTCCAGATGCTCGTCCAAGTTGGAGAAATTGAAATGCGCGCTAAGCCGGTTTTGGGTGAGGCTCGGCAAAAGTAAAAAAGGGCGCGGGTGTGGCTGGAGAGTTTTGATCTCTTCCCTTGCGGAACCTAACGTCCATTCTCCTGTCGCTGCCTGTCTTGTTTGCGTTGTCCTTTTCTATTTGCACCGTGATCGCTATCTCCCATCGCTGAGTGCGATTCTATACCCTGCGCATCATTAAGCGCTGTAATTAGTCCACGACCGACTGCCATCATGGCGGATTACAACTATGGAGGCTCCGAGGAGGAAAATGCGGAGTTGAGGAAGCTTGAGGTCGAGTTGGTATGATACGTCTATTCCCTGTTCTGGACCTATGCGGCGCATGACTTACATTCTGTTACAAATATAGGTCGATGACCCGGATAACTTCGAGACCTGGGAACGACTAGTTCGCGCTGGTGAGGCGCTTGAAGGAGGAATTAACCGCAACTCCAACCCTCAAGCTATCACCACCGTTCGGAATGTCTACGACCGATTCCTCGCAAAGTTTCCACTATTATTCGGATACTGGAAGAAATATGCCGACCTGGAATTCTCTATTACCGGAACGGAGGCAGCAGATATGGTATGGATTATCTATCGCTCTCGTCTCCTTGGGGGGTGTTCATCGCTGATTCTGTAGGTTTACGAACGAGGTGTTGCCAGCATCTCTCCATCCGTCGACCTTTGGACCAACTACTGCTCCTTCAAGGCAGAGACTTCCCATGATGCCGACGTCATTCGAGAGTAAGTATATTAGAGCTGGTTTCCTTCCTCCCCCCCTGTAACCGTTACCAAGGCAGCACGAACATTATTGTGGTATCGAAACCGCATAATGCAAAAAGCGTTGACAACAGTTCCCTTCAATGATGGGTGAGATGTTTGCCTGACCCGGATTCAACTGGAGTTACTTCTCACCCATGACATTCTCAGGCTGTTTCCTTGCCCTTGAACATTGTTGCTTTCAGACCAAGCATCACTCCTTGCACGGATATCAAGCCCAGTGACTCTGTCCGGTGGATCCTATTCTGCGCACGATGCAGACGGGGGAAACGTTTTTCACAATTTGCTCACCTTAGTCGTTCAATTGTTTGGGCTCGCACTGAAGATTAAATGCTCATGTTTGCCATCCTTGCCAACTCCCTTTGCCTCTCGCCCTCCCGTCCCCATACCCGTGGCTGGCGAACCCAACTTGCTAACATGTCTTTAATTTTGTAGGCTATTTGAACGTGGAGCTAGCAGTGTTGGTCTAGATTTCCTTGCACACCCATTCTGGGATAAGTATATCGAGTTTGAGGAGCGAGTGGAAGCCTTTGACAAGATTTTTGCCATTCTTGGCCGTGTCATCCACATCCCAATGCATCAATATGCTCGTTACTTCGAGCGCTATAGGCAGCTCGCACAGACTCGTCCGGTCGTAGAGCTAGCTCCTCCAGAGACACTGTCTCAATTCCGTGCGGAGCTTGATGCTGCTTCCGGACAGGTTGCTCCGGGCGCAAAGGCCGAGGCCGAGGTCGAGAGGGACATCAGACTGCGTGTTGATAGTTACCATCTCGAAATCTTCTCTAAGACACAGACGGAAACCACTAAGCGTTGGACATATGAGTCCGAGATCAAGCGTCCATACTTCCATGTGACTGAACTGGATGAGAGTCAGCTGTCCAACTGGAGAAAGTACCTGGACTTTGAGGAGACCGAGGGTTCATACCCACGTACCCAGTTCCTGTATGAGCGCTGTCTGGTCACGTGTGCCCACTACGACGAGTTCTGGCAACGCTATGCCCGGTGGATGGCCGCACAGCCCGGCAAGGAGGAGGAAGTGCGGAACATTTACCAGCGCGCAAGCTATCTGTATGTGCCGATTGCTAACCCAGCTACTCGCCTTCAATATGCCTACTTCGAGGAGATGTCAGGACGGGTAGATGTAGCCAAGGAAATCCACGGCGCCATCCTCATTCATCTCCCCAATCACGTCGAAACAATTGTATCTCTGGCCAATATGTCTCGCCGTCACGGTGGCCTCGAAGCCGCAATTGAGGTGTACAAGAGTCAGCTCGACTCGCCGCAATGTGACTTGGCCACCAAGGCGGCTCTGGTTGCGGAATGGGCCCGACTCCTATGGAAGATCAAGGGCTCTGCCGAGGAGGCCCGGCAGGTGTATCAACAGAACCAACAGTTCTACCTTGACAGCCGGCCATTCTGGACGAGCTATCTTACATTCGAGTTGGAGCAGCCCACAAGCTCGGAGGTGGAGAATGTCCAGTACGAGCGCATTAAGCAGGTCATGGATGACATCCGGTCTAAGAGTACTCTTACTCCAGATGCTGTGAAAGAACTTGTCCAAATCTATATGGTCTACTTGCTTGAGCGAGGGACCAAGGACGCGGCGAAGGAGTACATGACTCTGGATCGCGAAGTCCATGGCCCAGCATCCGTTGCCCATGCAAAGACCGGCGCCGCGGCTCAAGCTCAAGCTCAAGCGCCTCCAAGCGCCAACCAAGCTACCCCCGCCCCTGAGCCCCCCGCGGCTCCCACACCGCAGCCCAACCCCTACGCTTACTACCAACAAGCCCCCGTCAATGGCACTGCAGCTGCCTAGTCGGTCCGCGTTTGTATCACCCTCCCCAGCCTGAGCATGAGGTGAATGACTCTGTGCAGAACCTCCAGGTGACTCACCTTGTGTAGAACAGTACTTGACTTCTGATTTGCTTAGCGATTTGGCTTTTCGAGGGGGCGGAAGCTATCTCGTCGGCTCTTTGCCCGTTTCTCGACTACTTGTTTTCTCTCTTTTTCTCAATGATATCATGTGACTCGATTGGGTGGAATTTTACGAGCTTGGACACTCCCCTTGTATTCTAATGCGTAGGTAGTTTATTCTCAATACATTCCCAAGGACTTGAAGTAGCCATGTCTTCGTCCAAACACTAAAAGTCGCCTGTTGTGTTTGATGAGTACTTCGGTCCTGAGATGTTGAGGACGAAGCAAGTCTTTCAGATGGCCAGGAAGAAGGAAGAAAATAGGGCTGATGGTATGAAAATGAAGTTTGTACTTGAAGAATACTATCCCACTTGAAGAGAAAACTCCCATCGCCAGCAATGTGTGTCTGATCCACTTCTAAGTTCTCCCTCGCTGGACCGTCCGAGTATATGCAATTCTGGTTCCCTCTCGTTGCTCTACTCCTGCTCAATTGCTGTTTGATATGAGTGGAGAACCGTTCTATATACGGGACCCTGTTGTTTCAGGCTATGAATAGACATGGACATATCGATGGTTCTTGAATGGGTGTGTGTATCATTCGTAGAGGTGGAATACTAGATGGGTGGCCAATCTTAAAAATAGCGTGTAAGGAAGGTCCATGTGGAATATTAGGGTCGGAATTGAGTCTTCTAAATCTGTGATGATTGTGCAATCTAAAAGGATTCAAAAACGGGCATTTGGTCCGGTCACTAAGCAGGGGAACCCACTTTGGGCCTGGAAAAGTCGCGCTATCTGAAGGATGGAATCTGGATACAGACCAATATAGTAATTCCATGCCTTAGGAACCACTAATGGTCAATTCTTTCCCCACATCCACTGCACATCTCATCCATCCTTCTTCTCCTTTTACTCTTCGACGCACACACATATCCTCTTCTTCTTCCCTAGTGTTTACGGCTACCCCTAGTACATATATATTGTTTGAATCCGCGGGAATTAGCCAGTCTAGAGAAGAAAGAAAAAAAAAAAAAAAGAATACAATACTATCCGGTCGAACGAAATATGATTTGCCTCTTCGCCTAAAACATTTCCGACCGCTTGTACTCGGGAAGCTCGGCCCGTTTGCCGTGTTTGAATCCCCTAACGCTACACTACCGCTTTCTCTCCTCGTCTATCATTCTTGCCCCTGACGGGCTTAGACAAGTATCACTGTCTTTGTGCGGGGAAATTTCAAGTAACTTCTCGCCCTCGCCGAGACCTTCCGTGATCATGGTGGCCGGTATCAGCAAACGTCAGCAGTTCCGCAATGAGCGGGCACTGCAAGACCTAATTCGGTCGGTTCCTGGCAATGACCGATGCGCCGATTGCCAAGCAATGAATCCAGGTGAGTCCGGCGGGATGTCTTGGTTTCTGCGCTTCTGGAACATTGCAATATTAACGTATGGTGTTTCTTGATAGGATGGGCCAGTTGGAATGTATGTATACCGTCACCGGCTATTGCTTGCAATTTTCTGTACGCAGGAGTCTGATATAATGACTATAGATGGGTATTTTCCTGTGCATGCGGTGCGCCGCGCTGCACCGCAAAATGGGCACTCATATCTCAAAGGTCAAATCCTTGAGTATGGATAGCTGGACGACGGAACAAGTCGATGTGAGTGGTCGCGTGAGCCTTTGGTGTGCAGTGCTCTGGAGCTGACGCTAAGGGAAACTCCTTATCAGAACATGAAATCGCACGGGAACAACCTTATGAACAAGATTTTTAACCCTCGGAACGTGAAGCCCCCTGTTCCTGCTGATGTCGACGAGTCCGATGCATGCATGGAACGGTTTATTCGTCAGAAGTACCAGTACCGGACCTTAGAAGAAGGCAAACCGAAACCTCCTAGTCGTCAAGATACTCGCGATGATCGTTCTCCAGAAGGCTCTCCTCCTCCGCTTCCCCCAAAGCCTGCCCGGCCCCATGGGTTCGGTTTGCGATCGGCCTCGTCTACGACCAGCCTCCATCGACTGTCCAACCGGCAAGCCATGCCTCCCCGCTCTGAAACCTATGAATCACCCAGAGCAGTCTCACAGGGCATGGGGGCTTCTGTTGGCAGTAGCAATGCATCCCACGAGACTCAGATGGCCACCTTGCGGAGTATGGGCTTTACCAATGAGTATCGAAACTCTGCCGTTTTGAAGGGCTTGGACGGTAATCTCGACAAATCAATCGAGACTCTGGTCAGACTGGGGGAGGGTCCCCCATCATTGCAGGGCAGAACGCCTGTTCATACAACCACGGCCAATGATACTGCTAGACAGCAAGCCTCCAGCAATCCCTTTGATCAGTTGGATTCCAAGCCCGCTCAGCCTGCTGGGCAGTCATACAACCCTTTCGATGTTCCTACTCCGCAACCAGCTGCACAGACGCTCGAGGCGTCGTTCCAACACCTTCAGGTCTCGCAACCGTTATTCCCACACTCAACCGGGGGATATCCCAACCAACAGCCATCTTTCCCTCAGCCTCTTTACCAACAGCCGATGACCCCCCCTGTGATGCCAACAATCTCCCAGGGTGCCGTCGTGCAGTCACCGCAGCCTGTTGATGGTGGTCACAACCCGTTCTTCCAATCCGGCAGCTTCACTGCAGCACCCAACCAAACCCCCGGTGTCGCTCAGCCGCAGACAAATCCTTTTTTCACCCAACCCCCTTCGCAACTCAACTCGATGCAACCCCCAAGTCAGGCTCCGGCCGGATATCCTCATCCACCTCGACATGCCAACACCATGCCAGCTATATCATCCACCTCCCCGTTCGGTACCGCGTCGCCGTTCCAGCAGCAGCAACAACAGCAACAAATCCAACCTCCCCAACTCCAAGTCCAACCGCCCCAATTCCAGGCTCAACCACCCCAGCATATGCAAGCATCCCACAATCCATTCCAACCCATGACAGCGCCCCCAACCCCGCAAAGTGCGGGGTACCAGGTGCAATCACAGCTTGGCCTACAGGCGCCCGCGCAGCAGCTAGCCCCGCAGCTGACCGGCCGCATGGACAAGAACAGCATTCTGTCGTTGTACGGCCTTTCTCCACCAGCATCGGCAACGTCAGAGCATTCTCAACCCACAGGAGCGACTCCCGGCCCGGGAACAGCACCGGCACCGGCCCCTGGCTATGCCACTACTACGCAACCACAGCAACCCACGGACCTCCATTCCGCAGGCACCCGGAACCCCTTCCTCACCACTCAAGCAGCAGCTGCCGGACTTCCCCAACAGCAACAGCAACAAGCATACCTCCAACAACCCCAACCCCAACTCCAACCCCAATACAGCACCTTCGCCATGCCCATGAAATCCAACACCATGCCGCCCGCGGCACCAAGCGCCTTCCCAAGACCGCAGGGCCACATGAGCCAGCAAAGCGTCGATATCAACGCCTTCCAAAACGGCCGACACAGCCCCGATGCATTCGCCAGTTTGAGTGCGCGGTATGGTTGATTTGATTAGTACATACATACCTTCATATCTACATATATCTACCCATACATATTTTATATCCATGCATATCGCCACCACGTACAGTTATGTATAGATATGTATGCACATGGAAAAAGCTTTCGGTACATATTCCAGTCTGTGTCTTGTATCTACAGACCGCTTGAACTTGGATCCATATATTTATTTGTTTCTTTGGCGTGCTTTAATTGTATTAGTACATTTATTTGTGCATCTCTGGCGTTGAGGGAGATCGGATGGGAAGTTGAGAGTTAACTATCATTGGGCTTTCCAGTCTTATGAAGGCTTGGTATATAGATAGATAGATATATAGGATCGTTCTAGTCTCTATGGCAATCTACATATAAAGCTGAACTGGCTAATTCGTATAGACTCGGGGCCAATGAAATTGGATTGGATTATTGACTAAGATGGAGCGAGGTATCTATCTAAACTTTGATACAAAATAGAATATATTCAAAGAAGTGAATCAAAGAACCGTAGATTGGGAGAGGTATGCAAGTTTTAAGACCAGAGATCCCGATCAACGGCTCTGGTCTTTTTCTTGGAAGATTTCGGCCAGGTCCATGAGGGAAGGTTCCATGAGGACTTCTTCCACACCGGTAACTGGATTCCAAGCCAGGTCCGTCTACGCTGTTCCCAGGGCCAGGACCAGGATGAGGATGCCGATTGCCCCGACAGAGATGATGTCCATCGGGTCCAGGGGGAGGATTTCCGCTGACCGGGCGCGTTCTTCCGGAATGTTTCCACGATCCGATCGAATTGGCGGTCGCGACGCTCAAAGGTACGCTTCCGCGTCGCTGATCGCCAGGCGGCTTGTTCAGTTGGGTCGAGGCACCAGACGATGATGTCGCCTCGGCGACGAGAGTCGTCGTGCCAGGCGGTGTTCCAGGTGCGCCAACACTCGCCGTAGGAGCTGCTACGGAGAAGGCTGTGGAGGGTGGGTTCCAACGGGGCGAAAAAGATAAGATAGTCGGGCCATTCGTGTGGGGTGGCTTGCTGGTAGGCTTGCGGGTTGGTTTCTCGAGGTTTGGAGGAAGCCAGGTAGCTGGGCTTTCGAGGTAGATGGCGCAGTCCGCCAACCATGTTGTTGCGCAGGAATTGGCTGGGGTCATTGTAGAATTGATCGGCTTCGTCGACGTATACGGCCTTCTGAGCCTCATTCAAGTCCACAGGTGGTTCGCAGGAAAGCGCCCAGGCATGAATGTTCGGATCGACCAGGTGGGAGCGCCATGGGGTGCTGTGGCAGGGCATGAGGAACCCGGCTGTGATCCGCTGCGATGCACCAGGCGAGTATGGAGAGTTGTCAACAGTGGTGTGGGCTTGCTGCTGGTCGCGGAGGTACGAGAGGACGTTGATGGCCCCAGAGGCATGGTATACAGATGTGTAGATCGCAATAGTGACGTTGACCAGCAACAAGAAAACGAGAGACAGTCGTCTGGGCATGTATGCTTCGTTAGAATGAGAGACAGCCGGGAGAAAGAAGTCCACCAGCGGCGGGGCCGTCAAGACATGCAGCGAGGGCAGCAATGGGTAGATGAACCGCACTTCCTTGTGGGAAATGAGCGAGAGCACCAGCGGCATGAATAGACAAATCGCTGCTAGTTGCGTTTGCACCGACCCGTGCCGAGTGTTTGCTGTGGTTGACCGGGACTGGGTCAGTGTACGATAGAGGCCGACAAAGGTAAAGGGTAGTGCGGTCGTAAGCAGAAGAGGATAGCCTTGGGTTGCATAATAGTGCCAGTCATTTCTCCCATAGTAAACCGCCAGAGATTGGGATATGTTGAAGTACAGGAATCTGAGTGGCGGAAACGTCCAAAGTCCGTAGTAAAGGCGATCCAGAACGACTGATCCGGTGAGAACCGTGACGCTGGATAGTGGTGAGCTATTAGACTTGAAATGTACTCCGAATAACTTACCCACAAAGCAAAACCTCGCGACAGAGGATGGTCCGCTCGCGCCAAGCGCTCCGAAACCATGCGACGCTAGCTAAGCCCATCCATATCAGGATGTTTGTCGGTCGCAAGATACACGCAAATGCAGCAAGAGTAAGACACTTGCGCAGCCTAACAGGTATTTTCTCAGCAAGATTGCCCGTACCGTTTCGAATGAACCAATTGTACCTGACAATAGAAGCTTCATCGCTGGTGTCGATTGCCCCCGTATCCCTCGCAGTGGAGCGCGTGTTCCTCCTCGGTTGAGCTGGTGGTGTGGATTCGGACGACCATTCCCATGTCCATAGATTGAGCGCGACAATCGTAATTGTGGTCTCGAGGCAATTGGATAAAGTCCGTGTCGAACAGAACCATTGCCAGGGGCTGAGGACGGTCAAGGCAAGCTATGATCTCGATCAGTCTCCGGATACTCTAAATCGGGCGGGCTCGAGCATACAGCAGCCCAGGCTTCATGACTGCGACGTCCGTACACGTAACGGGCTAATTTCCACGTATACAGATCTCCAATGGCAGAGAGAACGGCTTGCGCCACTTTCGGGGCGACAATGAGGAGATCAGCACGGAATGCGGGGGAGAGACGAAGAACGCGCGCGCCAAGGTCGGCGATGGAATAAACGGTAGCAAATAGTAGAGGATGAATGGAGGATCGCAGATGGTGTCGCCATTCCTGCAGAAGGATACAATCCGCGCCAGTTAGTTTCATTCCGCCGAGACATGTGTCGATGCGCCAATAATTTGACTGACCCATGTTATCCAAGCCCCGTGGGTTTCGCCGAACGCAGTCTGCCACGCCGGTTCAAGCGATTGAAAGAATTCATCGGGTTGGAAGAAGGTGCGAAGGGACAAGGCGTTGAGCAGACGGAAGGCGACGAGAAAGAGGAAGACGTGAGAGGTGGACACGGTCGTTGTGCGTGCTCGCGATGGTGGTGATGATGATGTTGAGGTTGAGGTTGAGGGGGGTGGTGGCCTCAGGCGAGAAGGCGGAGATGTTGTTGATGCCCACGACGCATAAGACGAAGAAGACAAGGATGCGGAAGAAGACGATCGCGACGAAGAGCGTTCTAAAGGCGATCTCCGCCGTCGTGACGAAGTTGACATGGTTGCAGTGGTGGAACCCCTTACCAGGAACCAAATCCAGAGAGGATAAGGGCGACTAGTAAGGCGATAAGGACAAGCGACGTTTCTAACGGCTAACTTAGATCGGAAAGCTGGAGAGAGCGAGAGCGTCCGACCAGGTCTTAACCGGGAGCGGAAAGGCGGAGGAAGGGCGACGACTCGTAATAAACGAATTGTGAGTGGGAGAGGGCGGAAAAGAGTGGAGCCCGCAAGAGCCATGGGACGATTTGCATCATAGGCTATGGAGGTCGCGGCTAAACCTGCGCATAGGGGTATGAGACGCTGATACACCTGCACTTAGGGGAATCACGCCTGGCTGCACCTGCACTTAGAGGTATAGCCTTTCCACTATGCCTTTTTTTTTACTTGATATCTCGCCGAATTCTCTGGCTCGCTTGGCTCATGCCCACCACGGCGTCTGGTGAATGAATTCTTTGTTTCTCTATTTAAACTCGCTCTTCCTCGCTCTCGAGTCCTGTCCTGTCCTTCCCTCTTTCGCTCTCACAACCCCATCCCCTTCTGTATCCCACCATAACTACCATCTCCCACCGCTGTTTCTCCCCTGAATAGATTCCTTCCTGCCTAACATGGCGGTCAACGGCTCAAACGGCACATCCAAGACCAATGGTCACAGTGTAAGCAACGGCGCCAGTGCCTACCACGCCGCCTCCACCCAAGAGGCGATTCAGGCCGAGAATGATTATGCCGCTCACAACTATCATCCTCTCCCCGTCGTCTTCGCTCGGGCTCAGGGCACCTCGGTCTGGGACCCCGAGGGTCGTCACTATCTGGACTTCCTGTCCGCATACTCTGCGGTCAACCAAGGCCACTGCCACCCTAAACTGGTGGCCGCTCTCGTGGAACAGGCGTCCCGGGTCACTCTGAGCTCTCGTGCCTTCTATAACGATGTCTTCCCACGCTTCGCCCAGTTTGTCACTGAATTCTTCGGTTTCGATATGGTTCTGCCCATGAACACGGGTGCGGAGGCTGTCGAAACCGGTATCAAGATCGCCCGGAAGTGGGGATACAAGGTGAAGGGTATTCCGGAGAACCAGGCGATCGTCCTGAGTGCCGAGAACAACTTCCACGGTCGTACGGTAAGTGCTACATCGACGAACTGTCGTGAGATAACTCAGTCAGCTGACCGGTCCGTTTCCCGTTTAGTTTGCTGCCATCTCCCTGTCATCTGACCCCGAATCGCGTGAGAACTATGGTCCTTACCTGCCTGGCATTGGGTGCAACATTCCCGGCACCGATAAGCCCATCACATACAACGACAAGGCTGCTCTGCGGGAGGCCTTTGAGAAAGCGGGCCCCAACCTGGCGGCCTTCCTGGTCGAGCCCATCCAGGGTGAGGCCGGCATCGTCGTTCCGGATGAGGACTACCTGCAGGAGGCGAGAGCCCTGTGCGATAAGTACAATGTTCTCCTGATCTGCGATGAGATCCAGACTGGTATTGCCCGCACGGGTAAGCTTCTCTGCCACGAATGGAGCGGCATCAAGCCCGATTTGGTGTTGCTGGGCAAGGCCATCTCCGGCGGAATGTACCCCGTCTCGTGTGTTTTGGGCCGGAAGGATGTTATGCTCACCATCGAACCTGGTACTCACGGATCGACTTACGGTGGTAACCCCTTGGGCTGTGCGGTGGCCATCCGGGCCCTGGAAGTCGTCAAGGAGGAGCAAATGGTTGAGCGGGCCGAGAAGCTCGGTCACGTCTTCCGCGATGGTCTGAAGGCCATCAACAGCCCTATGATCCAGACCGTCCGTGGTAAGGGTCTGCTCAATGCCATTGTTATTGACGAGTCGAAGACCAATGGACACTCTGCGTGGGATCTCTGTATGTTGATGAAGGAAAAGGGTTTGTTGGTAAGTACTTCGAATGTTCCAACTGTTGATGTGGATGGTGCTAATCTCGCCCCCCCCCAGGCCAAGCCAACCCACGAGAATATTATTCGTCTCGCTCCGCCCCTCGTGATCACCGATGATGAGATCAAGAAGTCCCTCGAGATCATCGCGGAGGCTATTTCGGAGCTCCCCACCCTGAAGGGTGCCTCCGAGGATCAGGTGATCCCTCCTCCGGAGAAGAAGGTCAAGATCGGCGTTGAGAACTAAAGAGGGTCGAAGAAAAAGGGAGAAGATGGGGAGCCCACGGAAGAAGAAGGGCCACTGACTACCTCACATAGTCACCCAGACCCCTACCTCGTCCCCATGCTGCGCGTGGGCACCAGCCGACGCAAGACGATCGATCGTCCGTTGAGCATGGGGAGAAACCGAGAGTAGGGCTCTCTCGCTCCAAAAAGATCGAGATGGATGGTTGGACTTGAGAAGGGATACCGGTTTTCTACTGCTCTGATTTGATTGCTGTTGTAAAAACGCACCAGGTTGACTCATGGCTCAACGTGGATAACAGATATATCATGATGAGAATGAAATAATGAATGATGATCTGCCATTTTGTGAGATGTTTTAGAGAGTGTAGAAGCGAAGTGAAAACAAGAAGGGGGGAGGGGGGTTAGCTGAGGTCGTAGCAGCTGTTGTTGCCCAAACAAATGCCGCATGGTTGCACTGCCCTAAAGCGTCCTAGCTATCGTGACCGTGACTTCTACTCGTTCCTTTTTCCCCTCAGCTACTAATCCTATCCAGGCCAATTCCGAGGCGAGGATCATTGATCGGGCCGAGGCCGTCACTTATCCTCTCCCTATGCAGAGCTCTCCTTCATATATTGCCAAGGATGAAATCCTGTAGCTGGGGTCGCCCCTTGTCTTCCACCAAACGTGCGCTCCTGCTTACATATTATCTCATGAATTCTCATATATGAGGCAATTGTTGATTGTTTTGTTGTGAGGTTCTAATAAAGAATTTATAGAATACTGGGTCAAAAGTATTGCAACGAAGCCCAAAACACACCAAAACTTGGTATGTTTAGGCTACTATCTCTCAACAAAAAGATACTATAATAGTATATAAAATTCCAAACCCGAAACAGTAAAGAATGCAACAAGTCACTGCCCAGATACTTACTCCCTATCAATATCGGCTGCACCGCTCAAACCCAATTCTCGAGTCAAGAACCATTGTATCTCCAACAGTCCAAAGGACGAAAGAGGATATTTATTGGGATCACTTGTCTTCATTGTTATAGTATTGCCTGAACAGATTGGCTTTTCTGACCCGCAACAGAAAAGCTTGATCCTTTTTTCCTGTATATCCGAGGTTCGGAAGATACGGCGTTGTCTCAAGACCCATTGTCTTGATGTATTTCGATATAGGGATCCAGAAAAACCGAATTGCCAATGCTTTATTTTCGGCCCGTATCTCGAAGGACCGAAGCCCGGTCGGCGTTCCATTCTTCGTCGGTATGTAGTCGACAGATAGCTGAAGTGGCTGTAGGGTAAAACGAGCTTTTCCCTACAAGCCGGGAGAGGTATATAATATTCTCTAATACCTCAGTTCCGCTGGGTCTAGTATAATATTCTTCTGCCTCGCAATTCTGTCTGGGTGCTAAAAAGACTCTAAATGCCTCCAAAACAGTTCCTGTACAGTCGTCGGCTTGCCCATCATACTATACGGACAGATATGGGCAATTTCGACAGGCTCGTCTTTGCCTGTAAGCAAACAATATTCATCGCGGATGGAAGATACACTAACTATTGTTAGTCGTCCTTCTATATATGCTGTGACGGGTAGTAGATACAGAACTTGTTATATCCTTGATCGAATCTGATTATTTTCTTTTCAAGGTTTTGTCGGAGTCTATCGGCTGGCCCTTTGGTATAAATTAGCATATGTATACTCGAAATGGAAGAGTATAATACTTACACTGCAGTAGGATCTGATGAGTGGGAATCACTTGTCCTGTTAGTATGGCTGGAAATATGGCTTCTTTCATATTAGAGAGATCCTCGAGTTGTTCTATATCCGAGAACCATAAAACCGCCCAAGTTGGGTTTGCAATTTCTGGTGCCATTGAACTGATCTTTTCAATCAGCTGAACTCGGCGAGTATCCGATACCTCAGGGATACCATCAGAGGTATGTGCAGACACTCATAGTGTAATCAAAGCCATCCGCCTCGTACGTCATGTTTAGCCTGCACACGAAGTCATCTAGTAAATCATCTATGACCTCACTTCCAGACGGACGTTTCTATCTCAGAATCATGACGCAAGGACGCTGCGTCTGGTATCCCAGACATATGAGCTTTGTGGATGGCCGTTGGCATAGTAGCTGACGGGCACGGAGTGTGTGGATTGTATGAGCAGATAGTAGATGGCTGTGTTCTTCAACAAGGCTTGTAGCGCCCTGGAGTGCCACACAAGCAGAAACAGAACTGTTCTCAATGTGATTAGGGCTATGAGTAGCCAGTATTGTCAACAGTGAGCGGTAGTGCTGCCTATGTGTCACTGTCTTGAGTAATTGCCTCAGACTGACTGCCCAGAGGCTAATAAAGGACGTAGAAATGACAGGATAGAGAGAAGCATTTCCAATTTGAGCGTGTCGCCTCAACAAATATTTGTTACGGGATACTGCCTATGCGGAGTTTGCCCTTGGCGTATCCTCAAACATCATATTTGCTCGACAAAGCATCGTAAAAGAGGTCGGATGTCCAACATGAAGCTGAATACTGGAAGGTAGAAAGAGGGGACGGGAGATAGGGAGGGACAGATCGGGGTGGATTTATAGGGTTCGGCAAATGCACTGTTCGTTGGACAGGCTAGCCATATTCTACCAGTTATTCAATTACCTTGCAGTGAAATTCTATCCTAGAGTCATGTGAATTAGTAGGGCTCTTTTTTGAAAATACATGATGTCCATGGAGTGGCTCAAGGTAGTATCATGTATGTCGACTCAATAGAAAGTCGCATAGGCCTTACCACTTTCTACCTTTGTGCTCTCATTCAGCATGAAATCTAGATAATAACTAAAGCACAGCTATATAGAATGAAAAGAGAGTTCTCCGCTCCGATACTCGATAGTTTATAATTAGATTATTCTAAAATCGATGTTGCTATTGCTGTTTGAAGTTATTACTCTCCACAAATTGAGCGTTGAGCCGTCGTGTACTGAATGTAAGTGCTTAGGTTAGAGAGCAAGGAGGAAAATTGGGGTGAATATATGGCAGGCCCACTTCACCTTCTCCATGAATGGCTTCCTCTCACCCCACAATTTGACTGTCCATATGAGCTGAGCCTGATTGAGTGGCCAAGACGTGGGAAATTACTCCGCACGAAGCCAAGCGCCGCTGTCGCTGGGCTTTCGAGCATCCGAATGAGCGATTTCTTGGCCGATGAGAACGTGGGAAACTGGCATCTTCTGATTCAAGAACTCATTAGACACGATCCACTTATGCGTCGCTTACCCTCTCGCTTCGATCGCTGGCAAACTCCTATGCAGCTGTTTTTGAAGAACGTGGACACAGGCTTCAACTGGAACTGTGATACCCGAGATGGCCAAGATGCCCCAATCTCAGCCTTCCCAGCACGTTGTTTGGCAGCTGGTTCCAATTGGGAGCGTGGCGTGGGATGCGCTGATTTGAATTAAATTAACCAGAATTTTCTGATAACAAAGGGCTAGAGATATTCAGGCACCGGCATACCCGGACGTTGGTGGGAAGATCTATAAAAGCTGCCTGCGCATCTGAATGACTGGAGATAAAGCTATCCCTTAGGCTTGTCTGTCTTTTCAGTGACGTCTCTCAAGATGCATATCCGCACTGCCATCACCGCGGGCGCGGCCCTTGTCCAGACTGCAGTTGCAGCTTCTGTCCAGGCAAAGAACGTTATTTATATCGTTCCCGATGGCTACGGGCCTGCGTCGCAGAACATGGCCCGCGACCTTGTCTCTCTGGTTGATAGTGGCACGACTGGCAGCAACCCGAAGATCAATGAGCTTGCCGTGGACGACCTGGTGAGTCTGCTCTCGTCCTGACCTGGGGATGATGAGATTGTGATTCGGTGCTAAGTTCTCTCCCAGGCCATTGGACGTGTCCGCACCCACTCGGCCAACAAAATGATCACCGACTCGGCTGCTTCTGGGACCGCGTATGCGGCCGGCCACAAGTCCTACAACGGTGCCATCTCTGTCACACCCGATGGCCAGCCTGTGGGTTCCATCCTCGAGGCCGCAAAGCTTGGAGGCTTGAAGACTGGTCTCGTTTCCACCACATACATCAGCGATGCCACCCCTGCAGGTAAGATACACACTTTCCCCACCCGGCTTTAAACCCGCAAACGATGCTCATCCCCCTTAGTCTATGCAGCTCACGCCGCCAACCGTGCCTCTATGCCCCTGATCGCAGAGCAACAGCTCGGCTACAGCCATCCCCTCGGCCCCATGGTCGACCTCCTTCTCGGTGGCGGCCGTTGCAACTTCTCGCCAAACACCACCGAGGGATCCTGCCGTACGGACGATTTCGACCTGTTGACCTACGCAGAGGAGCAGGGCTTCACGGTCGCCACGGACCGCGAGGAATTCAATGCTCTTCAGAAGGGCCAGGGTCGGGTAGAGCTGCCAATCCTAGGTCTTTTCAGCGAAGGCAAGTCGAGTTCCTCCTCCTTCCTGCATCAGGAGGCAAAGCTAACCGTTCACAGAAAGCATGCGCTACGAGATGGACCGTCGCATCATCCAGGACGAACCCTCCCTGCTAGAAATGGCCGAGACAGCCGTGAATGCGCTGCACCGCGCGACCCGTCGCCGGAACAAGGGCTTCTTCCTCATGATCGAGGCCGCGCGAATCGACCACGCCGGACACGACAACGACCCGGCCAACCACGCCTCGGAGACCGTCATGTACAACAACGTGGTGGCTTGGGTGCGCGACTGGATCGACCGCCACCCGGACACCATCATGCTGTCCGCCGCCGACCACGAAACCGGCGGCCTGACCTTGAACGGCTACGACCCGCTCCCTCTGCGCAACGCCACACACTCGCGCGCCTACCTCCAGTCCGTCTGGGACAACGAGCGCCCAGCTGATGCCGACGAGCGCGACTTCCTCGTCTCCGAGATTCTCCCGGCGTACGGACTCGAGACCGTCACCGATGAGGAAATCCAGACCATCCTCGACGCGTCCAGTATCGGGGCCGGCATCGCCGCCCTTCTGTCCTCTCGCGCTGGCGTCGACTGGTCCACCGGTGGCCACACTTCCGTCGACGTCACCCTGCATGGTTATGCCGCTGGCCAGAAGCGTCGTGCCCTGCAGGCAGACCTCGCCGGAGGCTGGGATAACACTGAGCTGCCTCGCTACATTGAGGCTGTTCTTGACCTCGACATGGACGCCGTTACAGAGCGGCTGCAGCAGGCCGCACAGGAGGACTCGTCGTGGCTGGGTCCGCGCGAACTGGTAGCTCGTCGTGACCTCGGCGGTTGCGACCACTACCACTAGGGTAGTTCATCCTGTCGTGAGTGACGTTTTGTAGTGGATGGTGGGGGAAACAGTGAGAGGCGGGGCATTGTACAAAATGTAATTTTAGCAGCGTGAGGTGGCGCAACTTTGGGAGAAATGTCGAGTGGGATAGAAAGTCGGTAATATAGCCTTTTTTGTACTTCAGCAGCACACGAAGAGACATTGTTCTTGTTACAGATAATATCAATCATACAGTTCACGCAGGTCCTGCCAAATGTCCTGAAAGACACTGATTCTGCCGATGGGTACTTTCACAGACTGCGACTTATCCTACCCAACCTGTTTTAAATAGGTAGACAAGCTGTTAGATGCTGGGCCGTGGACACATATATAGTATCTGAAGTTGTGGGAAAGTCTACCTAGAAAACTATAGGTTAGGATATAGATAACAGCAATGTTTATAGAGCTAAGAGCTGGTCAAAACACAACTGACTCCAAGAGAAAAACAAAAGCAGAACAATTCCTCTAGCCTATACTTTTAAGTGCCTACAAAATCCACAACGCCCACATTGAATTGCTATTTGAGTATATCGCCATAAAATACCTATCCGCAATAATAATCTAGGGCTGATTGAGACGGGTGCTGGTTTCTTTCTGGATATCTATGTGACTTGGATTTGGAACTATAATAGAGATACTGCTACTGACTAAGGTGAATTTTGGTTTCGTCTCTGTCTGGACGGCGCTGGTGCATCGCTATGGAGATGGGTGTGCCGTTCCATGTGATGTTCAGGTCCTGTCGGAGGAGGTTGTTCTTGGGGTGGGACAATAAAGTAGTATTGGGAGTAGACGGCAGGAAGCATAGGACGCCTAACTGGCAGAGTGACTTTGGGGGCCATGACTGTCTCACGCGTGAGAGGTTGTTTTGGAATTAGGGCTCTGTGCACGGATCGGTGGTTCTTGAAGTTGTACACGATACACCGCCCATGAACGATAGAGATTGAGATGTAAGAGGAATTAGCGATAATAAAAGCATATTGAAATCTGTTGCGCCGATGTTGTTGCTGGAAAACATGTGGTCCATGGCTGCGAGGTTCATGATCGCGAGGGTCATGACCGCGAGTAACCCTAACTAACAACCAAGGCAGACGAAACGGCAGGGCGCACGAGTTGACCGCAGATCTGGCAACTACCGAGAGGGTTCTTACTGTAGTGAAAAGGAAAGGAAGACGATAGTCAAACTGATTTCTACGGCACACTTGTCTAACGTCTTGGCAGGGCCACCAGGGTCTCAGTTGTCGTGACGTCGAGTGGGAACGCTAAATACGATGTCTCATTCGTCATACTAAATTAAGAACGTTAGTGCTTAACTACCAGAATCCATTCATCTTCAGCCCACCCACCAAAGACAAACACAAGATACGCGGATCTTTTTTTTCCATGTATTTAATTCCTTTGCTGTTTCGTGGTCAAATGCAAACAAAGAATTTTCCTCTCATCCCTGTGCGAATCCTATCATGACCCGGTTCCTATGTTCCGGTCGCATCCTGGGTGGCACCGCCATTCTGCTGTCCACCATCATTATTTTGATTGTCTTCGTCAACCCCCCACAGACCCGAATTCTCCACAGTTCGTCCCCTCAAACCACAACCCCCAAGCACAATTCGTCCGCCCCATGGAACTCCGGTGATGTGCGATGCAGCAGCGGAGTGCCCGACACCTCCCACATCCAGGTGGTGGTCAAGACAGGCTCGAACATCATCTACGATAAGCTGCCCACGCAACTGCTCACAGCCTTGCGATGCTGCCAAGACCCGCTGATATTCGCCGACTCCGAGCAGGACATCGGCGCCTACCATGTCTACGACGTGCTGGCGAACGTCAATGAAACGCTGAAGGCCACGCATCCCGATTTCGCCTACTATCGCACCATCAAGGAGTACTTGTCCGCGGGCCGGGACATCCGGCAACTCCGCACCTCGCGCCAGGCCGCCTGGGACCTGGACAAGTACAAGTTCATCCACATGCTGGTGCAGACCTGGGCGCGTCGGCCCGGCCACGACTGGTACGTGTTCGTCGAGGCCGACACGTATCTCTTCTGGGGCAATCTCGTGCAGTGGCTGGCGCGGATGGACCCCGCCCAGCCGCTCTACCTGGGCTCGGCGGCGACGTTCCAAAGCCAGAAGTTCGCCCACGGAGGAAGCGGCGTGATCCTGTCGCGCGAGGCGATGAGGCGCGTCCTGGACGGTGATGCCGATCTGGCTGCGCGATACGACGAGCGCATGCACGACGAGATCTACGGCGATTACGTGCTCATGAAAGCCCTCAAGGAAAAGGGCGTCGAGTTGACCAATAAATGGCCCATGATGCAGGGCGAGAAGCAGAATACGCTTCCGTTTGGGCCCGGCCCGAATTCTGGGTCCCGGCATGGGTGTCAGCCGTTGATTACCATGCATAGTGTGACGCCGGTGGATGTTAATGAGATGTGGAATTACGAGCAGCGTCGGAAACATCCGCAGGTACGTGCTCATTCATGTCTGTTAGGAGGGGGGGTGATGGCTAACGACAAATAGGACCCGCTGCTTATTAGTGAGCTGTATGACTATTTCATGGGTCGTGCGCTGCCCTCGGAGCGCGACAATTGGTATAATCTCTCCGATGACTTGATGTTCCGGGCGCCCGGGGTTGAAGGGCAGCGACAGAAGTCGCCCTCGGAGATGACCCCCGTCGAGAAGGAAGCGTATAGCTCTTTTGAGCAATGCCAGAAGGCGTGTCAGGAGCATTCCAAGTGCTTCCAGTTCGCTTACCACGATCAGACCTGTGGATTCTCCTTCTCCTATCGGCTGGGATACCAGAAAGATCCTGAAGATGGTAAGGGATCGTATAAATCCGGGTGGATCTTGGATAAGATTGAGAAGGACCGGGAAGATCACCCTTGCAAGACACCCGAATGGCTATAAAAAGCAAATATGGCTCGGTGTAGCACTTGGATCGATATCTATTCTTACCAGCGACATCCGACACCACGGATGGCTCCGTCGTTCGGGTCGAGATGACCCCTCTTAGGGAAACACCGACGAGATGCACTACGGAGTTACAGACTGCAACATACCACCACAATGTGTTTCATGGTGGTGACCGAAAAGTGTGTCCAACCTTAACCACAATGAGCAGAAACACGCGCCCCATTCCGATTCAGCGGAGCTCAAGTCAATGTCGTAACGGCCCGAAGTCTTTTATATTATAGCAAGTCCAGCAGTGTATATAAATGTATATAGAAGCGTTCCAAGCGATACCATTCAAATACTGTTCCCTACTTTCATCTTTCAGGACTCCGACTGGTAAAGTCTAGCAGGAGTGATGCAATGTGCTCAAGGCACTTCTCGCATTAGATCTATGCAGGCATTGTGGATACCGTTATGCATACGGAGTGGCTGTATTGAGTAAATTCCTGTGCTCTTCTTAGAAGCCTGCATTTGCGATAGTTCCCTGCTTAGTGTATTGGTCACTGAGTGAAATCTATTCCCGACGTTACACGTTAAAACAGTAGGTGAGCCTACAAACATATGAGGCAGCAAAGTTGCAGAGCTCAATGATTGCCACAATGCTTATACAGGCTACCACAATCGATAAATGTATGGACACGTATATCCAGTCGAACCAATCATAATTGTAACTGTATCATGCCACATATCGAGGAAGACAATAACACTGGCTGAATGACATCATGCAAATGATCGCTGATAAGTCAGCAATTCTGCCCAGGCAGAATTTTTCACACGTTGTCTTGGCGCGTGAAGACTATACATACTGTTTACAAGGGTTCGTTGTTGAGTCCTCCATCTAGAGTGGGTCTTCAGTCGACATGGAGCACTCATCCTCATTCTCTTTAGTATCTCAGCTATGCAGCCTTCTCCAGAACCCCGACTTCCCCGCGCAACTGACATCTGCGATTGAGGCGTCAAAGCAAAGGCCGAGGAAAGACTTGGATCTCAAGGAATCCTCCCAACTGGAGCGAAAGAATAGTAATCTTTTCCTTCGTATTGAAGCTTCGCTTTTTTCAGGTGCACCATGTGTATCTCGAGATAGCTCATGGATTTTGGTTGGTCTTACTGGATCAGATTAATGTTGCAGCCTGCCGATGCCATGTGCTAACTGGTCAGGGTTGCGTTGATCTAAGCAATGACCGTGTTGTGCCGTTGACGCAGTTGGCTCCAGAGGTCTCAGAGACAAGTGTAAGATGATACCCTCCATATGTTGCGTTTCCGGTAGAAGGTTAACTTTCCATATAGCACGATAAGCGAGATACTGTAGCTGCTCCGGAGGCCATTATAGATGACCATGGCCCACGTCCCCTTAAGCGAAGAAAGACCGTCAGTGGTCTTCGCTTGGCTCCGCATAACCAGGACGCTGCCATTGCAGGGGCTGAATCTCAGATCGACGGCTATACAGCACCAGATTCAAATGGGATGACTGACGATGCTCAAAAGTCGTCTGTTCGCCAGGTACATAGCGACACTAGGTTTCCCCAACGCAAAAACCCAAGCAAAGATACATCTGCTCCAGTCCTAGAACCAACTTCAACCGACAAACTCATCGCGGGTATCTGGAGACAAGTGTTTTCACCTGTCCAACTGAGCCGATTCCATTCAGTATGACTTCCCGGCGTGAAAAGGTGACTCTCTCAACCCAACTAACAAACCTAGGTCATAGAGCCCGGCATAGACATCCGAACTGGCGTTAGTGGAGAGGTAGGTTATACCGTAAAACCATTCACGTAAAACACAGGGCTTCAATTCGAGTCCCCCAATAGCTTCGTACATGCGGCAAGACTTGGGATAACTGACCATCACCAGGTATTCCGCGCAGTCAATACCCTATGCTTGAAATACTATAACCAAAGTCAGTCCTCGCGCGCGCTTGAGATGATAGTGCAAGCCTACTGGATTGAATGTTACGAAGCTCGTATCGCTGTTCTTCGCTTAGAAAACCCTAACCTGTCGGCTATGGAAATCCGGATGATGGGCTTGAGGGAGGCATGTGCGGTTCTCAACTGGAAAGAAAAGGATCTGCGGAACCGAATGTAAGTGATATACCCTCTTGAACTATGAGTCGCCAGGCTAATCTTCCTCGATTAAGCGCTATCTGGCGCGGATACAAAGAAATCAAAGATGCCGGCGGTTGGGCCAGTTTGATATTTGCAAGCGCCGGGGTATACCGCTTCTGCAAATACCGTACTGGTTTTGGAGAAGGGTTCTCCACGCGCCTCCGACATATCCGATCTAGTCTGGAGGTCGCCGCCGATACGCTGCACCCGGACTGGAGGGATCTTCTCCAGGTGATTGGGCAACAAGAGACACGGCAGTACCACGGCCACCCACACGAATGGGTAACAGTAACAGGAAGACCAGCGGTCCCCTTAATTTCAACATACGAGCATCTTCAGCTACCAAATGGCTTCCACTACCGTTTTATCGATGAGTGCGTGCTTGACACTGCTGCTTTTGGCACAGAGGACCCTCGCCGGGTTCCGGAAATAGATTCGGATGTGTGTGTGGTGTGCAAAGAGAGGCAGTCCGATGAGATCGAGAAGAATCATTGCTCATGTTTCCCCACACTGTTTGGGGGCGTGCGAAACCCAGTACCAGTACAGCTGTTCCATACAACCAGCGGGAAGAACAACGGGGTCATAGCTCGCAGTGTAAGTTTTGCCTTCTTCGCTCAAACACAATCTACACTATCTTAACCAACAACGAGCAGAACTTCGACCGTGGCATCGCCATCGGTGAATTCACGGGTCTTATCACAAAAGGCATCGAGGGCGTCGACGTAATGCTTGGCGGCAGTCGCACGAGAACGTACCAGATCTTCCAAGGGCAGATGGGCAACTTCACGCGGTTCATCAACCACTCTTGTCGTCCAAATAGCCAGTTTCAACGATTCTACTGGCGGGGAAAGGAACGCATAATTGTCGTTTCACGAGGAGTGACGGCGGGAAGCGAGATCACTGTTGATTATTCAGATCATTATTGGAAGCAATTGAGCAAGATATGTCTTTGCGGGGAGCCATGCTGTCGATTTCGGGAGAGAAGATAATGAACTTTTCAAAGCCTGATGCTTTAATCGATGTACATAGAGCTTAATGGAATCTGTTGTGAGAAAGACTGGGCTGCTCATTATATAATGTCAAGGACACAGGGCGAGCCATATGGAATCTCCCTGTCAGATGATGTGCGGTCACATGTTGCGAGAGCATCCTCCAGATATCGTTTGTTTTACATCATACATTCATTACGGCAAGGGTTAAGTTTTATCCAAATTAAAATTCAGTGATTCATATCTCCTTACACGAGGGCGGCTACAAATCACTTACTCAGATGGGGATTGAATGTATAAACGACATCCACGATACCTTCCCAACAATTTATCAAGAAGTAATCCTCTTCAAATCCATGCAAATCTCTCAGAAAAGCAAATTTACTACACAGTTGATTATCCTGCGTGGGGATATGGTACTACATCCAAGAAAGTGGAGCTGAAATGGCGGATGATCTGTCCGGAAAGCAAGGTACAAAGATTTCCACACGCAGTGTGCAGGATTTGTGGATTATATAATATGAAAGAGTCAACCGCTCAACAAGCCAGCAGCAGAGATGCATGCTGCAGGTGGAGTTGAAGAGTCAGCGCCTGTCACAGCCACTAGAAAGGGCACATTTGTCAAGAGCATCACCATCAACCGACGGATACCAGTCCGGACCAATCCAAAAGCCTCCCTCGACAGATGGACTGACACGATCCGGCCACACGGAAAGCTCAGTCCAAGCTTCTACGATGGGTACATCCGAGTAGCCCAGATCTACAACGTCTGGACAAGTACCGGTACCTCCTTCGTGGGTCACATCAGTCTTAACTAAGCCTTGTCACCGCGCAGCAAGCAGCCTCCATGATTGGAGAGGCTGTTCACATCGCCACCCCGACAGCCCATCTCTCTCCGCACGCTCATCTTTCTGCCTAGTTGGAGTGGAGCCTTAACACTCGATTCTGTATGGAGGAGGCAAACTGTACGTGATCCAACGGAGGCAGCCTTTAGAGATAAGCTTATTTGGACGTCGTCTATATAGTTATACGACACCTTCTGCTATTGGAACTCTCCAGAAATGCGTAACCACTTTACGAGAGGGCCAGATATCCTGCAGAAACTAGGAGAACCGAGGATGAATGCAAGTTAGCCCTAGATCAGATCACGTGGTCTCTATCCAAAAGACCTGTTCGGCATTAAAAGGGAAAAAGACCGGTGAACAGTGCATCAGATAAGCCGAAAGACCGCTAAGTCAGACTAAAGCGGATCAACCTGAAGTTCGGACACTTTTAATCAGTGTGCGAAATAGCTCTAGGTATGAACCAGACCACGCCCTAGCGGTTACAAACGGTTTTGATAAATGACGTGGCCGTTCAGCATACGAGCACTGTCCTCGTCTGGGCCGAAAATCCATGCTTGATTTAGTAAATCGAACGAAGCAACTGCCAGGAAATGTCGCACTCGATCGTCCGGCTCGCGCGCTAGAAACGGTAAATGATATCGTGATCGTCCCAGCGGCAGGTGCATACCTAGGACATCTTTGGATTGGCCAGTTGGGAGGACATGGGATGTTTGACGTGTTCTAGTTTACTCATATTTCCTCCAATATGATAGCAGAACCAGGTTTCCCCCTTTTCACCCCTTCCAAAGAGAACAACAGCAAAAAAGTCTCCGAAACTACCCCAAACGTACTTTTCGCAATCGCCCAGAAGGATCGAAAATTACGTCAGCGGATATACGGCTTTACTGGAAACCACCAGAAAAAAGGGCCAAGAACGGAATCGGATACTCGGATGAATGTCCGAGACCGGGAAGAATTGCCTGATCCGGGCGCTCCCGCTCCGTGAGAGCCGCCAAGATGGTGAATTTGCTTAGAAATACTATATGACAAGAAAAGTGGTCGAAGTGGGAACCCTAACGAAAAATCTCTGACCTTGAAAGGGACACGAACACTCGTCAAACAGTCCTGTGCCAGGGAGATTTATCCGGTTTCCGACCCGTTGTATCCCTATAAGGCAATGATTGTTAGTAAGAACGACTGCTTGTGCAGTACTACCACGGCACAACCCATACTATGTAGGGCACTAAGGGTGCTAGTCAATCAATCAAGCATTGACCGCCAAGCACTACTGCAGTATGATGATTGATCAGCTCATCCGGTGGAGGCTGTATGGGTCTTTGCGCACCTCACTAGCTGCACTATCCTGGAGCTCTTGGCAATCACAGGGAGCAAATGAGTTGAGGATACTGCATCGGTGAGCCTGCATCATGGTCGTTTTCCAATTAGCTAACATGGTAACGTCCTCCCTCATGGGTGAGGGACACTAATTTATAACGATTGCTAACCAGAGCAATTTCCTCTGGCGATCAAGAGGGGAAGCGAGGTCTGTGATGCGACCTGCAGACCCTGGATCCTTTTGACTCATCGCCGGTCCATCATTGTCAAATCGGGGTCCCAATCCAGTCAGAAGTTCTAGCCAACAATGAGATCCATGGTGTGGACAACTTCCCCCCCCCCCTCGTATCTCAGGAACTTCCGGGTCGCCTGCCGCTCCCTGCCGCGATTCCTTTCTTCGACCTGCCTTATCCGACACTTCCGATGCCTTCCAGATCTGGTGACAATAATCCACAGTGGCCGTCACTAACTATCCATGGCAGGTCATATGGCAAATCAATAATATGAGGAGGCCGACGTCGCCCTTGGAGAAAAAATTCGTCGAGATGCTTATAAATTGACCTAGCCCCGCTCCTTCCTCCCTTTTCTAATTGAAGGTCCCATCGGGCATGGCTTATCTGGCAGCAATATAGCTATCCTTAGCAACTCCAACTATCATCCTACCTATCTTTTCTTTCTCCCTGTCTTCTAGGCTGTTTCACCGCAGCTTCCAATATCAACACGATGACGGAAACTCAAACGGTCTTGGCATCACGCCAGTCCGGGCGGAGCTCTGAGAGTAGCTCGCTGGATGCCATTGCAACGGAGAAGCAAAATCTGACCGTGCACAGCGTCCCATCGACCCGGCCTGATTTGCAGAACTCCGCCTCTCCTAAGCGGTGGAAAACCTTTTGGACCGCTTTCCGGTATCTTCACCATCTGACCCCGAAGCAAGTCGATGACTTCATGGCATCTTATGTGATCTATAACCTAGACTGGTCCAATGAGAAGCAGATGGTCGAAGAGCTAGGGCCCAACTACCAGGAAAAGGTCGGCGATTGCCTCAAGTCGTACTATGGGGTATTAAATCACCTTTGCGCGCTTGGCGACGTCGAGAAGATGTATATCCCACCATTCATGAGCAAGAAAGCGACCGTGCTGGAAAACCAACTATTGTATGAAGAGTCCATTGCCGAACATATTGGCCTAAAGCCCGGAGACAAAGTATTAGATCTGGGTTGTGGTCGCGGTCGCGTGGCTGCGCACATGACCCAATACTCGGGTGCACATGTGACCGGGTTAAACATCGACCCTAACCAGATCGCCCAAGCCCGTTCCTACAACGAGAAGCTTGGGTTCAAGGACAACCGCTTCATCGTCCAGGACTTCAACAGCCTTCCTCTCCCGTTCGAAGATGAAACCTTTGACGCGTTTTATCAGATCCAGGCATTCAGTCTGTGCAAAGATTTGCCCGCTCTGTTTCGCGAAGTCTTCCGTGTCCTCAAGCCGGGAGCCAGATTCTCCATGCTGGACTGGGTCAGTCTGCCGGACTATGACCCCTCAAACCCTGAGCATGCCCAGCTCATGCGTCGCGTAAAGCCACTGATTGGGGCGGTGGGCACCCCTACTCCGAAGATTCTGGAGAACGCTCTCACCGATGCTGGATTCACGATAACTCGCTCCGATAACGCCAGTGTCGGTGGACTGCAAGCCCCGTTGATTGCCAAGGTTGACCTCTACTTCCGATCCATGCGACAGCTTATCCTAGGCCTGGTCAAGACTCACGTACTCCCCAAACACTTCAAGACGTTAATCAACCGTCTATGTCTAGACGGAGAAGCATTCGTCAAGATGGACAATATGCGGTTGACGACGACGAGTTATCGTATCATTGCACAGAAGCCCCTCCATTGAGTGCCTCCGAACAGGGCATTGGAGACGGACTTTTGTGGGCGGAAGAAAGTGACGCGGGAGGATGTCTCAGCATTCCCACTTAAAAGGGGCTATGCTCTCTTGGCAGCCACCCATTCTGACTGAATACGGGAGCGATACCGCATGTCCGCTGGCGGGACGAGACTCGTCATCGGCTCACACATCACAGCCGGCTGTCTATATTTGATTCAGATATTGACGGTATACACTCGCTATGCATTGCTACAGCCGTGTTTAGCCATTACTTCCGTCTTTACTACCACAGTGGTCTCTCTCCAAGGAACTGTTCTACCGCATGGCGTTCTTGTGCCAACAGGTAAGTGGTGTTCTCCCACTTCCACCGACGACGTGTGAAACTGTACAAATTTCCTACAGCAACCCTCTAACATGGCTTTAAGATAATCATTGAATATATTGTATACCCCATTGCCCTGATTCTTCTGGACTTTTCCATTTTCATGAGAACATGGCTCAGCGTATTATACCCTGTCCGTTCCATGTCGGCGTTCCTCCGGTTGAAGCCTTCAGTTTTCATGGTCACCGAGTGGCCCATAGATCTATTGATTTTTCATTTTGCAAGGTTTGCTTGGCTCCGCTACGTTCTACTGGTGTTTGTGAGTTTTGCATACAGCTTTTGGTTTTGTTCGGATACCCAAGCAGAAAGGGGCCATCCACTAGATATTTATATACCTTAGATTAGTAATGTCACCTTCAATTCAACAATAACGCTTGTCATGGATAAGAGATACGATGTGGTAGTCTAATAGATTGATTTAAGACATAGAAGGAAAATAAAAATGTGAACAATATAGAAAACAGCGGAAAGAGAGCCGAAAAGAGTTGGGAGATAACAAAAAGTTCTACGGAGTACAGTAGGAGCAAGAGCGAAACAAAAAAAAAGACACCATCAAAGCATATTAAAGGAGGTTTCGGCCCTTAATAGCAGAGAATGATTCGGAAAGTTAGATTGAGATGACGAGATTCCGGTGGAAGAAGACAGTTCAATCGGGGGAGGACAATGATTTGTCCGATCTTATCCCCCGGCCATGCCATGTGGCCGGCTTGACTGGACTACTAGTAGCAGGCAGACCTCTGCCAACTCCACTCATGGTTGGTTACACTAGTCGAAAGCTTTCACTCCGAGGCAAACAGCTGAGCTCGCCAGCTTCAGAAATATACGAAAGCGGATCACACGAAGAAATGTTCTCGAACGATGCGCGGCAGTTTTCCACGAGTTGAGCACGGGTACGCCTATATATCCCCCCCCATGGATCACTCTAGCGTGGCCCCCCCACCGGGTCCCACCGAAAGCTTTCAATAGCAGCCATCCATTTAGGCACGTTGTTGTGGATCTCCCGCCAATGGGCTGGCCGTGGTAGGCCCCTCGTCTTATCGGTGCCCTTATGCCGGTTCCCATGGAGGGACAGAGTTCATATTTAAAATGTCACGTCAAACAAACGGACGTTGGGCATCCATTGTCAGAATGGTTCCTGAATTCTGAAGAACTCTGGCCGTGCTGGGAAAGATGATGTCGAGCTCTCATACTTGCCCCTGCATGTCGATCAATTCTTGGGGACCCGCAAGATCGCCAGCTCGTCGAGTCCACTGCGAATACGCAGAGTTATCAACGCCACATTGGTGTTAAAAAAAAGATCTGTAAGATCTTTGTTTTCTGGCCATGAGCCAGACTCTCTTCGACGCGGAGGATTGGCCTCTTCCCCCTGCCCGACGAGAAAGTACCATCTCGTCTTCGACCCAGTCCTCATCCTCGAGTTTCGTGTCAACCTCATTCTTCCCTCTTCCTCCCATCAGCCCCGCCACGTCGTCTCCGGGAAGATCGCGGCAGGCGTCATGCCAGTCGTTATACGATGAAGTAACTCGATTACCACTAAACCCTGCTGTGACGATGTGGGTTAACTATCCTTGCTACGCATTCCCAGTGTGACCATCTAACGGACCATTATAGCTCATTCGTCCGAAGCCACAAACTCTTCAAACTTCGATATACATATATTGACATTCGCAAAGATGCCACGGGAAGTTTAAGGGCCTTGGAACTGGGAGGAGCTGTTGGCCAGCAGACACCCTTTGTGCACACCTGTAAGTGACCATGATTCTAAATACGAGGGTATTCACGCTGATTAGGATCCTCCTACACCAAAGTCAACACCACGAAACTCCCTGTCCCGCATCTCGAACACCCCAAGCTGCCCAATGAACCCTCTCTAAGAATTTCCTTCATGGAGGAACAGACCATCCAGACCGCCCATACCGTTTTCACATCACAGTTATCTTACACCTTCGAGGATTGGAACGGTAAGGCTGGCTCAGAGTAATCGAAGAACTCTTACTGAATCACACTACCAGATTGCGTGCAGTTTCAAGAGCTCATACTCGCGGCCAAACTCGTTTTCATCGCCGGAATTGCCGAAGCCAAATCCAAAGGTCGTGGAGAAGAATGCATTAGCCAGAATCTACGCATTCTGCGCGGTTATAACGGCAAGCAGGTGATGCTATTTTTCGCCAATTCGCAGCGAAAGGAGCTAAAGCGCTATGTTTCGATTCCTGGTAGGTAGTGAGCAGAGTTCGAGAGGGGTGCGTCGGGGCACTGACCGGCTTAGTGAATTGCGTCGAAAGTGTTCAGCCGCCGAAAAAGGCCGGGCGGCCGGTTGTGCTACAGCTTCTACCAAATTTCGACTACCTCTCCCAGATGAAAAGTCTCCAGATTCATTTCTTAGACCACGGAGGTATGTCTACTTCAGGTACTCGGCCGAGATATGGGTATTAACGAGTTTTCCCCAGACGGCCTGGCCTTCTGTCAATTTCTGGCCGACCAGGCAAAATAAGTACCATTCGATGATCATGTCTTTCTACATAATTTCCGAGCGAGTATATGACATTAGTCTTTTATACATGATAGATTCTTTCGGCGGGGTTTTGATTCTACACAAGAGGTTTCTAGAATCCGGTAATAGTCGGAGCACTGGCATGCTCGACGGGCGGATTCTGTGGGAGATAATATTTAGTTCTATGTCTTACGCTAGATAATACATATACCCTATACAGTCAATACGATCATAAGTTCTGAAAGCACGTGGCGCATGCACTGGCGCTGGTTCGAAGGAAAAAAAACTAATGCCGAGAAACACCACCATCACACCGTATCACACGCGTCCGGTGTCTCACCTAGATTTTCCTAGTGGCTGCTCGTGGAGATTACATGCATTAATCAACATCCATGTCAGGAAGCTCGTGATCGGTGGGCCGCAGGAACCGCAAGAACCGCCGTCGGAAGTTGAATACGCATCGCAGGGGCGCACGTGGGAGAAGAATTGGCCCTTGCTTCATGTCACAGCGGAAGCTAATGTGGCACGTTGAGTTATCCGCTTCACTCACACCAATGGTGGACCTTCATAGCGGTGGGCCTCAACTTTATTCTGTTCCCTTCCCCCCACTCTTCTTGTTTCTTGCTTCTTTGTCCAGCCTTGAGGCTTGTCTTCGGTCACGTACAAACCATGCCACCCTCATCTGCCATGTTCTTCCTCCTCGATCTGTCCTACCCCTATCTTGCCCTATGTTTCGAGCCGCATTCTTTAAATCGGAGGTAGCATTTTTCGACGATCAATGGCACATCTGTCATAATACTATGGGTCCTGTCCTGATAAATGAGCCGTCCCCCTGAGATAAGAACCGCGCAGTGCGATAAGATCTAAAAAATGACGAAGTTCCGTTCGAGGTTATATAAAACCGATCGTGCTCGGGATTTTGACCATGAACAGGTATAGTCTCCATCGGATCTAGGATTTCGTTACCATCTGAAACTGACCGTCATGCATCTAGGACCGCCATGTGCGCATGCGACAAGTTTACGAAACCATCGATCGACAGGGTTATCAATGGATTGTGGTGTTTGTGGCCGGGGTGGGCTTCTTCCTCGATGGATATACAGTCAGTTGAATATAAAGCTATTGGACTTGATGACGAATAAATCATGACTGACGCATGCCACTTCTCCTCGCAGCTATTTGCAAGCAACATGGCCTTCCCGATGCTATCCTACGTCTACTGGAAAAATGAAACGTCTTCTAAGAAACTCACCAATATCAACATTGCCACATTGGCCGGTACCATGCTGGGGCAAGTACTATTTGGGTATCTGGCAGACAAGTATGGGCGGAAGAAGATGTACGGCCTGGAGCTGATGCTCCTGATCACCTCGACCCTCGGTGTGGTCATGGCTTCAAATGGCGTAAACCATAGTATGAATGTGTATGCGTGGTTGATATGGTGGAGAATCGTGGTCGGCATCGGCGTTGGGGCCGATTACCCACTGAGTGCTGTCATCACATCTGAGTAGGTACAGCTTGGATTGATTCGCACGGTCAGAAACTGATGGACTTTCCAATAGGTTTGCTCCCACAAAGCATCGGGCGCGAATGATGGCATCGGTCTTTTTCATGCAGCCTCTCGGTCAGATCACCGGAAATATTGTGTCGCTGATTGTATGCGCGGCCAGCAGAAGCCGAGGGGACGAAGACCTGACCCGCACTGTGGATATCATGTGGAGGTGGGTCATTGGGATCGGGGTGGTTCCTGGTGTAATCGCAACGGTCTTCCGGTTCATTATTCCAGAAAGTCCCCGGTTCCTGCTGGAGATCGAGGACGACCCCGTGCAGGCAGAATTCGACGCAACCACCCTCTTTAACGAACCGAACAACTCTCCCTCTGTGGAAACAGACAGTTGGCACAACTTACCCCTTCCGGCGATCTCAATGACGAGTCAATGCTTTTCCGATCGATCCCCCTCGGAAACAGAAATTCTCCAGCCCGCCACTCTCAACTCCCACTGGCACTTAACAAGAAAGGACATCACACAGTATTTCTGGACTGAGGGAAACTGGCGCACTCTCGCTGCTACCTCCCTGTCCTGGCTTTTGCTCGACTTTGGCTTCTACGGAATTGGCCTGTCGAGTCCACAGTTTCTGGCCAAGACATGGGGTTCCCTCAAGCTCCACGGTGCAGCACCTGTCTGGCAGACGAACGATGCACCGAACGCCGATGTCTTCAAAATGTTTCTAGATAGCTCTACGCATGCCCTGGTCATCCTAAACAGTGGTAGTTTCCTTGGGGGCTTACTCTTGATTCTCGTCATCCACCGTCTTGATCGTGTCGCACTCCAAAAATACGGGTTTTTGGCACTGGCCGCCCTCTTCATCGCCCTGGGTACTATGTTCCTGACCGTCCACAAAGAAGGTGCTGTAGCCGTGGCCTTATACATCGTCGGTCAGGCATTCTTCAACTTTGGTACAGACTTTCCTAGTATATCCAAAAAAGAAAACAAACACTAACAAAGAATCCCACAGGCCCCAACGCAACCACCTATATAATTCCCGCCGAGATCTTCCCCACCCGGTACCGTGCTACCTGCCACGGAATTAGTGCCGGCGCTGGCAAACTCGGCTCGATTCTGGTTCAAATATTCTCCGCACACTTTAACTTCGGTTCAGGTCTCGGTGATGAGCCCATCATCCGCCACGGCTGGGTTCTAATCGTCTTCAGTGTGTGCATGATACTTGGTGCGGTGGTCACGCATTTCTGGATCCCGCCTGTGCAGCGACAAGATGGCAAGGGGAAGTTCTGGGGTGGGAAGACGGAGACCTTGGAGACCTTGGCACTCGGGAGGATGGGATGGAAGAGCCGGTATGCTGTGAAACTGCGAGACAGAGAGAGGATTGTGTCACCGACCTTTTCGCCGGGAGGGTTTGGGTTATAGTATATAGTACGGTGGATATTGCACTGTCCGTATGGTGTTTGCCTGGGCTAGACACCAGTTTACTCTTCTTGTACATACAAATTTACATACATATATTAGAGAACAGTATACTCCTTCAAAACAATCATTGATACCCAAGAAAAGAAAACAAAAAAATGCATTGCCAGACTAAGAAAAACAGTGGGCCTGATACAGGGAACCAGGAGAGACAACAAAAAATGAGTGCATCATCCGTGAATCGAACACGGGCCTCATCGATGGCAACGATGAATTCTACCACTAGACCAATGATGCTAGTTATTGAAGAACCTGTTCTTATTTTAATTAATAACACATAATTGATTCTCAAAATCTACCCCTTGAGTGACAAGACAGACCATACTCCAAAACTCGACGAGTAATCGGATCTTTTATCCAGATTTAATAAAGCACGGAAATATCTATATTTAAGATACTCATCGGGCATTCTAAGAGGTATTATTGGAGAACGGTTAACACCCAGATGCTTGGAGGCGAAATATTTTACGATATATATTTCCTTCGAGGTCAGCCCTCCTGTCGTGTGTTTCGAGTTGTTAGCATATATACTCCTCTGTGGTAGCTATGTATACGGTTACTTAATATAATTTGCAGTTTCCATACGGAGCTTTAGCTATATAAGCCCCGTCATTGTATTCACAGCGCTTCACGAATAGGAGCCGTAGTATTTGGTAATAAAACCTTTCCCCCAGAGTCCAGACACTCGAGAACCCTTCAACTCACACAGTCGACCACAGAATAAAAAGAAGATACTATTTATACTCTGCCTAGGAATAAGAAAAAATTGATCCTCTCTTGCTTAGCTCCTATAGTATGCTACCCTAGTCAATGTTCCAATCTTAGGATGAAATATCTTCTCGCTTCTAGAGTTCATTCTCATGTTTAGCCAAAATGGAGACCTTCATACTTGGATTTTCACCCAGCAACAGCACCAGCTGCCAGACTGGCGCCTCTGTTAATGAGCACGACCAGTAGGACCAACTCCAATATCCATGGTATCGTACACAGATAAAGATAAATAAGATGACCTACCCACGACGTAGTCACAATGTGATGTGCGCCTTTGGTCGTCAAAGTAAGGGATAATTGTTATTTTGAAGGGGTGGGTGTCTTTCACCGACAGCTCACAAGACGCCGGTTTTTTGATATTACCGTCTAAAATAGGCGGTTATTTTGAATCTGTCGCTTCCTGCGCACATGAGAGGACTACATAGATGCGCTGCAGCCAGTGTGCAGGGTCGAAGTCGTCCTCATGGAAATAGTGAAATTACATCGTTGTTAGTATCCTCTGTTGCAGAGCTGCTAGTAATTCTTTGGTATTTAATAAATAGATCCTTATATAATTCTCTGGTTGTAGTGATAGTCAGCAGGTTTAGTAACGTGTGGAATATGTAATATATATCCCCTATGCAATCTCCACCAACCCCCCTAAGCAGTTGGTCGTGACCGCTCTAGTGCACATAGTTATCTTCTCTGGTGGAACTACTAGAAACTTGGACAGGTTTAAGGCACTGACCTTGCAGCATGTCATTTCGGAGACGCGGCCAATGGAACCAAACATGCCTCTTGCGTATAAGCGACAAGAACGACTGCATAAACTATAATCCTTGTGTAATCTCATACAAGCCACCTAATCACATCACTAATAACCTTCTTCACACCAATAACTCGCCGCATCCTTAACATTACCTCCCTTATACACCGAAACCAAGGGATAAGGGCACAAGTTTCTCCTCCTACCATCGGCAGCCAGAGCATCGACAGTCTCAGGCACGACACCATTCTCCACCCAGTCTACCACTTGGCTCAACGGGTCAACAGGTACAGGCCCCACACCTCCAGAGCAATGATGGACCCCCGGGGCTTTGAAGAAGCGATAAAAGTCACGCACGGACGGGTCCTTCTCTTCCACCCGTGTGTAGTACTGTTCTGTACCCTTGGGGAAGATCAACGTGTCAGAGAGCCCATGCCAGGTTATCATCTTCCCGCCCGCCTGTTTAAAAGCAGAGAGGTCTGGATTATCGGTGCCGATTATGTCGTTGTATCTTTTCTTAGAAAGGGTGAATATCCTATCGAGGGCTTTGTGGTCTAGCGTGGTGAGGTCGAAGGACGGATCTTGCAAGATAAACCGGCGGATCCAGTCTGACGAGATAGCAAACGGAGAACCAGTGCAATTGAACGGTGTCCAGCATACGGTGCGGGCGAGGCTCGACGCGCCCATTGACAGGGGCGTGCCCTTGTCAAGTCCGTACCATAGGAACGAGCCCTCCGAGGACCTGAGTCCTTCCCATGTACTGTTGACCACTTGAGCATCCTTCTCGGAGATACTCACACTGGTTCCGCTGCAATTTACCCTCGCGCCAACCGTAGTAAATGGATCAAAATCACACAAGTCAGGCGCAGAAATCACTCCGTCCACAACCCCATCGATACCATCACACGCTTTAATCGCCTCAGCCGTAATAGCATCCGAGACACAAGTTGGAGGGAAAGCGCCAAGCTCATTCATGACAAACTGGGGCCAGAACTCCGCTACCAGGAAACTAGCCCAATTGATTGCCGGTGCAGCGGCCATGATACCGTCATACGCGGTTGGATATCGTTGTGCGAGCATCAAACCCTGCCTGCCGCCTGTCGAGCACCCATTCCAGTAGGAGTACCGCGGAGCAAGACCATAGAAACTGGTGGTGACCTGTTTACCAATAATCGCGGCGTCGCCAAGAGCGACGTAGGCGAAATCCTCCAGTAACGCCATGTTCACATTTCCTGAAGCGTCCAGGGACCACGATGCTGAGCTCTGCGAGTTCATGTCGTGGCCTCCGTCCGTGGCTAGGACCGTATAGTTCTGGGCCACAGCTGCCGCGAGGACGGCATCTTCCGATCTCATGGAGAAACCGCCTCCGCCAGAGCCTTGGAGTCGGCTGTTCCAATTGGAGAAGGGGAGCCAGACTGTGGCATGGATGGTATCATTTTTCCCTGGGTGGGTATATGTGACCGTCACATTGCAGAAGTCTAGTGTAGAGTCATCGTATGCATATTTCGTTACTGGAATGGCAGAGAGATCCAGTACCTGTCCTCCAGGTATGGATGGATGGGGAATGACAGATGACGAGCAATTCCCAGCCTGAGCGACAGTTGCTGTGAAAAGGCTCCCGGCGGCCATGAAAGCCACAGACCGTATTCTATCGTGAAACATTGTGAAGGCTGACCAGAAAACCCTGGGTAACATTTTTGTCACCTTCCTACCGATGGTATTTATAATGGATATAACATTTCGGGAAAATAGCACCAGGTCTTAGCACAACCGTCCTTAGCCAACACAACTCAAGACTTGCCAATCCGTCTGGCGGCTTGGGATCGTGACGAGCAACAAATGACAACGAGGAGATATCCCCAGGATGTAGTATAGCGTAGAATATGGGGTCCACCAGATAGACGGTTCACCATACGTAGACCACGCTGCCAATGATCGTCGTCTCGTCGAGGGGACCGGAGAATCCTCGGACTTGGCTAATTGGCTAGTTCTAATCCGTTTAGTGGATTTTAGTTCATACACCCCTCTTGTTGCGCAGGGGATGTCCAATATTGAGTACTGGGATGAGAAAGTTGCGGCATGATGTTTGATACTAGTCTTGGTTTTAAAGTTTCGGGTATGGGGTTCGGTAGTGAGCTTGCCTGGAATGCGGAGGAAACTGGGGCAATTGCGGGATGGTTAGGATAATTATCCGGTTTGTGTATCCTAGTGAGTAGATGGGATTGCGATTCGATACAACGAAGTGGGACCTTTCTTGATAGTAAAACCTTAGCTCGGGCTATCTATGAACGATCCTGGTTGAGTTGCCGAAGAGCCCAAGTGAACCCTTCATAACTTCATAGATCCTTATGCAAAATGCTAGAGGCTGACCAATTATGGAAGCCGCAGATATACCGGTAACCCCCGGACGTAGCAATTGGGATAACCGTTCGGTAGGTCACTCAATGGATGTAGAAGATGCGTAGGATACTAGTAGTCTCCATCTAGTCCAAATCCATCAGCTCTAAGGTCACTTGGTCAAAAGTTTATATAGCATTAAACTGCAAAGCAGCACATCCAATCAGCTTCTATGGCTCAGTTGGTAGAGCGCATGACTAGTAATCATGAGGTCCGCGGTTCGAATCCGCGTGGAAGCAGATCTCATACGAAGCTCCTATGGCTCAGTTGGTAGAGCGCATGACTAGTAATCATGAGGTCCGCGGTTCAAATCCGCGTGGGAGCATCTCATGAGTTTCTTTTTGCACTTTTTGCTGTCGTTGCTTGCTCAACAGGAGCGTTGGACGTTGCGGGGCCGTTCATGCAGGATATCGGGATATCACAGTACCGCAGCATCACCCTCATGGCCCGAACTCGGTGTTCTCCCGACTCCATTGGAGCAGCCAGTCACATGGTAGTCAAATGTGCCAGTAGGAGCCATTCTCCGATGTCCGAGACGCATCCTCTGCAAGGAATCCCTGTAATGGTACCCCATAATTGTGCGTCTGGGCCCATCGTTGCCTCTTATAGTAAGGGTTCAGCGCTAGTTGCTCGACAACTCAATGGTGCAGATGGGACTGAGGGGTACGTGGGTAGCTATTGGAATCTAGCCCGAGGAAGTCTACCTAATTTCTGGTAGCAGGGATTGGTCTGAGACATTGTGGCTTGACAGCATTTCGAAAGCAACGAGTGACTGAAGAAAGCCCCACGCGGTTACTACAGCATGTAGCTGCAGCTCCGAGTACGCGTTGTTCGTAAAGTGGGGTGAGGAGAGTATAAAGAAGAGGAGAGTGACCAGAGTCCAGACCCCGTGCTCTCTTTTGTTACCCCGCCCTCGCAATTCTTTAACTCCCCGCACTCATAGTTGCGTTACCTGTTCTTCTCTACCAGACCAGAGAACCACGCGATGGCCCTCGCTTCAAAAGACAGAGTCGAGCCAGGCTCCTCCAACGTCCCCGTAGGGACATTTCCCGCAACATGTTCGTCAACTGGTATTGACGCAGACAAGATCGCGTCGGAGGTGATACGACAGCTGAACACGGCGCTGGGACTGAAGCAACCTCAGGAGATCTCCAAACTGTTTCTTGAAGATGGCTACTGGCGAGACCATCTCGTCCTGACATGGGACTTCCGCACCATCAAGGGCCAAGAGAATATCACCAGGTTCCTCCAGGCAAACCCTCGTTTGCTACAAGTAGAAATTGACCGCTCGTCCGCCTTCCATGCACCGGCGATCTTCCCTATCGATGCCTTTGGCGATGTAACTGGAATTCAGTTTTTCATTAAGGTCACTACCGACGCGGGGAGTGGAAAAGGTGTTGTCCGGCTGGCCGAGAAGGATGGCGAGTGGAAGATTTTCACATTCTTCACATCCCTGTTGGAGGTCAAGGGAAGTGAGGAGAAGATTAACCATCACCGACCGGTGGGCGTATCGCATGGTGAGCATCATGATAGACGGAATTGGCAGGATAGACGGACCGCCGATTTCAACTATGAAGGGAAGAGCCCGACAGTATTAATCGTTGGTATGTACACTGTTCCTTTCCTCTTTCACCAGACAAGCTAACTTTACCAGGTGCGGGCCAAGCTGGACTGACAATCGCCGCCCGTCTGAAAATGCTCGATATCGATGCCCTGATCATTGATGAAGAAGATCGCATCGGAGATAACTGGCGTAGGCGGTATCACCAGCTGGTTCTACACGACCCCGTCTGGTTCGACCACTTGCCCTACCTTCAGTTCCCGGCAAACTGGCCCATCTTCACGCCCAAGGACAAACTCGCAGAGTTCTTTGAATGCTACGCCAAGCTTCTTGAGCTGAACGTGTGGACTAAAACCAAGCTCCAATCTTCGTCTTGGAGCGACGCAAACAATGTCTGGACCATTGAGCTCCAACGACAGAAGGAAGACGGTACAGTCGAGACTCGTACCTTTAACCCCCGTCACGTCATCCAGGCAACTGGTCACTCGGGTAAGAAAAACCTGCCTGAATTCAAGGGCGTTGAGACTTTCCAGGGGAAGCGCATCTGCCACAGCTCCGAGTTCCCCGGTGCGGACCCCAACAGCAAAGGTAAGAAGGCGGTTGTGGTTGGATCCTGTAACTCGGGTCATGATATTGCACATGACTACTTTGAGAAGGGATACGACGTGACTATGGTCCAGCGCAGTTCGACATGTGTCATCTCTTCCGAATCCATCACCAAGATTGGGCTGAAGGGCCTGTACGAGGAAAGTGCCCCCCCGGTTGAAGATGCCGACTTGTTCCTGTGGAGCATTCCGTCGGAACTGTTCAAGGCGCAGCAGAAGAAAATCACGACGGTCCAAAATCAGAACGACAAGGCGATTCTGGACGGACTAGAGAAAGCGGGCTTCAAAGTAGACCGTGGGCCGGACGATGCGGGCCTGCTGATCAAATACCTCCAGCGTGGTGGCGGTTACTACATCGACGTGGGAGCAAGCAAGCTCATTGCCGACGGCAAGATCAAGGTAAAGCAGGGACAGGAGATCGCAGAGGTCATTCCGCAGGGATTGCGCTTCGCGGACGGCTCCGAGCTGGAGGCCGACGAGATCATTTTCGCGACGGGCTACCAGAACATGAGAACACAGGCGCGCATCATCTTCGGCGACGAGGTGGCGGATCGCATCCAGAGCGTCTGGGGATACAATGAAGAAGGCGAGATGCGCACGATCTGGCAGCGCAGCGGACACCCCGGCTTCTGGTTTATGGGTGGTAACCTGGCGCTGTGTCGGTACTACTCGCGACTATTGGCATTGCAGATCAAGGGCGTGGAACTGGGTCTCAATCACTAATTGTAACCGGGGGGTATCAAGCTTGCTATACATTCTTAAGCCGGTAGAAAGAAATTAGAAAGGAAACAATGAAACAAATGACCATACAACCTCGTTAGAAATATTAACTCAACCAACCCTCTTGCGCTGCCACATAGACCCCCATCGTCAAGATAGAGGTAAACAGCGCCGCGTCTTCCTCCACTTCATTCCCACTTCGTAACGACGAAGCCAAATACTCTCTCTGTGCCCGATCCCACCCCCCAACCTTCAACCCCTGCTTCGTCAACGTCGCCAACCACGGCCGCCTCAGCCCCGACTCCGCAATATTCAGCGTAAACCTCACATCCCCCCTCATCTCACTTCCCTCTGACGCCGACGACGACCTTCCCTTCGCCACCCTCTTCTCCCACTCTACCACCCGACTCACCCCATCCGCCCTCCCCTTGGACATAAACCGATACCCTCCCCTCCCCGTCACACTAACCTCCCACCCCTCCCCAAACGGAAACCACACCCCACCGCCCGGAAACGCCATCTTCCTATTCTCCTCCTTCGCCGGCATATAAATCACCCCCACAACGGCCCCCTGGCTCTGATCTCCCTCCGGTAGATGCGCATACCCATCGCTCTGCACGATGTACATATCCCGCGCAGTCAGCTTGCGGGGCGCATCGCCAAGAGTCTTGCCGAAGCGGGTGGGTTGGTAGACCTCGAGGATGGGGATCGGGCGGCGGGAGGCGGGCGTGAGTTGTTGGATTTGGAGCGTGAGGTGGGGGGTGAGACGGAGAGTGTGTTTGGGCGGTGGGGGGTGGGCGAGAGGGAAGGTTTGGGTGTGTGGTTGTGGGGGTTTTGTGGAGGTTGTTGTGTGGGTGGTCGAGGTTCTGGATGTTGTGGAGGTTGATGTACTGGAAATATTGTTAGTGTTGGTGTTATTGGGATGTATGTGAGATTGTAGTCTGTATACTAGTAGGTACCTAGTGTAGCCACAGTTGATGCTAGTAGTATAGATAGAAGACATGGTAGGGCTGGGGAATGTGGAGTACATACGTCTGTGTACTTTCCGTATCGCTCATCTTTTTTTTTAATGCGTCGTTAATCACTCACTCAATCATGTAAGATTGGCTGTTCTGTTTGGACTGCATATGTATCTCTGTATAGGAAGAAGGATTCTACACCAGGCAGAATAAAGATAAGGTGGAAATTTAAGTAGTACTATAACGCCTTCTAGGATCTCACTCCTCTTATATACCTGATGTAGGGTTCGCCATGCAAAAACCGGACCCTCGTATTCGTATCCACCGTCAGACCGCGCCCGAGGCAGCATTTGATTCGTGTGAGTGGGAATTCTGTCTGCCTAGTCCCGCCCAAGCTTAAGTTATTTCGAGCCTTTGTTGTCTTGGCGGAGATCCACTGGGCTGACTTTGCGTTTGGCCCCGACAAGGTTATACTCGGTTCGGCAGATTATGCGGATACGACGATGTTCGAACACGACTACGAGCTGGTTTCTAGAACGGGAATGCAATATGTATGTCACGGGTGGGGAGATCATGCGAGAGAATAGAGTTCCATTTTTTTTTTAGTTTAATTTTTCATTCTGTTCTACATGATAGTGATATTGAGCGGGGGGGTATCAATGGTTACTAGTGTCTGTTGTTACAGGGGTTTTGTTGGGTGGAGGAGGTCAACATAGCCACCGATCATCCACTTGTCTCAGGATCTCACACTCGTCTGACCATTCGTCGTAGAGTCGTTCGATGACGATTCCGCGGTTTCGTGCGGCTTCGTAGAGGGGCTCGCATGCTGCGCGGGCTTCGTGGAGGGTGTGCTCGGGGATTTCTTTCAATTTTTTGAGGCGACCAAACGAGCTATCGCTTGATTCGTATTCGAGGTCGAGGACGAAGGAGAGTTGCTTGAGATTGGGGAGAAAATCGCGCTCGGCGAAGGCCTGGACCCAGTTGTTCCACTCTGTGGATTTAGTCAGGGATGCTGGGCCTCGGAATCGGAGGGTCGATATGTTCGGCGGCAGCCATTTGTATAATGTAGGTAGACGGGACTCGTCCGTGAAGACCTCGCCGATGGATAACTTCAGCGTCTCTAGTCTAGAAAGCTGTGGCAGAAGCTGCTGGATCATGCTTTCATGCAGGAATTGGAAATCCAAACAGTGTGTTGAACGGAGGTTTAACGTCGTCAGGTTCTCGATGAGATGAGGTAATGCGAGGGCCATCCGGCAGAAGGTGTCGATAGCGTCATTTTCAAGAATTTCTAGTATGCGTAGGTTGATCGTCGGTGGTTGGCGGTTGTCTTCTTCTAACTGGAGCTCCTCTTTACCCTTGTACTTGTTATTCATCCATTTGCCGGCCAGCTCCGGGATCCATGTGACTTCGATCTTCTTTTCCTCGGGAGTGCCCTCTCTCACAGTGATGTAATGGGCTTTCTCTTCACCCCGGGCAATCGCTTGGGAATGTGCTTTGCTCAACTCTTTCGATGTGGGCCCTTCGAAGCGGAGAGCGGAGGTAAGAAACAAGATGAGATGGCTCATACGGCCCTGCCGTATGTGCGGAGTCTGAGTGACTTCCCCGCAAGCACTCAGAATTTTGCACCGCTTCAGGGGCCAGTGTAGGGGTAATTCTTTGTCATTGAGTTCCTCGTTATATCCGCTCTCCAATTCCAAGGACTGGATGTTCGTGAAGTGCGAGCCGAGAATGGCCCATTCCTTGTCTGATGGGGTTTCCTCCTCGATTCGGAGTGCTGTTATATCAGATGGTATGGACTTCAGCTGGGTGATGAGATCTTCGCCGTGGTTTTCACTGTCTTCGCTGGCGCCCTCGATTTTGACTACGTGATGATGTGGTTTCAGGCTTAGCTGGGTGTCTGTCGAGGCCATTCTGCCTTTTGAATACACACTAGCGCGAGGAAGTATTGATGGGAGGTATGTTCCGGGTGTACCCAACGTCTTTAGTTGAGTGCAGATGCGGAAGAGGGGCCACTATATAGGTTAGTACTTGATTCCAAGACATAATACTTCTCCAGTTGCAAACATCTGATAGTGATATCTGAGGTAAGATTCACCATCGTCCTCGACTCACCATATTCTTGCAAGTTCCTGAGAGACCAATAGAGTTATCAGATGAGACACAGCAATCAGATTGCCTCCTTAGTTTCGTTGCTGACAGGATCGACAAGATTGTCGCAGGGCTTAGTCGATGGGCGTTGTCAGCCGCGTTTTAATCCAACGCGATTTGCATTGTTTGCTCCAAGTGACTCACTCGTTGCACGTCACGTTGACATCAACTTCCGGCGTTGGTTCAAGACGAACATTCTTTGAGAGCGACGGTATTTCATTCCGAGTCAAGTACCTGAATCCCTTGATACGGAGATCCACTACCCGAAGATCTTGTACGCTCTGCTCGAGGGTCGACTTGATAGTACGTACGATACCATCTCACTACATCCTAGTAAAGAAGAGTTAACGAGTATGTAGCATTGAATTAATTGTCAATTTGAACTGATCTTCAATTGGTCTAATGAAACAACCAAGGATGCAACCAACGCCAAGAATCCCACCGACACCAATTCTGCGATCGTATTGAATTTCCGCAAGAAGCACAAAGACAAAGCAATGGCCCGGTATTAAATCATCTCCAGGGGCCAAGGAATAGCTGCAGTAAGAGCAACAAGGCCTCCTACCAACGGTAACAATCCCCGACCGGCATTGAGCTTCAGCCACCGGGACAACAATGACTCAACTTCCACGCTCGACTTCTCGTCGACCACCCGATTCGAGGTGGCTAGATCCATCAACTTGTTGTTGGTACCCAGCATCATACCAAAGGTGTAGGGTACGATCCCCAACGTCAAGGCCGCTGCCACACAGTACAAAGAAGAGCTGTGAGTCGGGGTCAAGGGGGCTAGCGTCGTGCTAGTGCGAACGGCCCAGGCACAATAAAGAAACGCTGTGGAGGTGACAGCGGCGATAGGAGGAGCTTGGCTTTTGCCTCTGTTATAAAGCTTGCGCCATAATTTGACAGCAGCATCGAGCGGTAATCTATCTTCGCGTGTCGCCTGTATCAGTGCAGGCACAGTGACTGTGCTCAATGAGATGATTTTGCCTTTGACGGTTATTAGATTGGTTATTCACTGAATTCCACTTGACAATGCGTGGAAGAATTTACCGGAAAGCCAGGCGGCGCCAGTCAAGCCCACCACTTGGGCGGCGTAAAACGCAGTTGGATGGGTGCTCATAATGTTAGGTATGTCAGGTTGTGGGTGAATAGACTTCCAATTGGAATGGGGTCGTTCTGGATGGGGCCGGCAATGGCTTTATAGCTTCAAGCATGTTGGACAGTGACTAACCGTGACTAATTGGTATATATCATATGATTCCATCCCTTTCAGTTTGCGCCTCGAAGATCCATGACGACATTGCTACGCAGCAAGGTAACCTTCATCAGGAACGTTTGTTGATCTCTGAGCGTTCCAGGGAACATCCACCAACCTTACTCAATTTGGTTTGATTCGGCAAGCCTAGATCCTTTGGTGGGTCGGCTCGGCTTTTGTCGGCTTTTGGAACATTCAATCGGGCTTTGCGCACGATGTCCTTGTCAATTAGAATGATGACCGACTCAAGGGTGCAGTTTCGAACTCTTAGTGACAACCACTTGCCAATCACTTCCTGAGGTAGCTAAGTGAACGATACCAACCATGTCGGGTCGGCGTGGTTTAGCAGCGATGCCCGAGTTGGTGAAGTGTTTTATAACTGTGATGGATTTATTAGTGAACCCTGATGCCTCTTTGGTCCATTCTTCGTCTTTACGTTCTCAAGTTGGGCCAGTATGACTCAGAGGAAGCCAGGTCAAATATGTCTGTTAGGCGCTACCGGTCGCACCGGACGAGGTATACTGCAAATACTTCTTACGGAGAACTATCGCGACTGGGCTCTGCATGTCTATGTCCGGTCGCGAGCAAAACTTTTGTCGTTCTTCCCGGGCATAGAAGCTTATCCAGGAGTGAAAATCTTTGAAGGATCTATCACCGACGTTGAACTTTGGCGACAATGCTTGTCAGGGGCAGACATCATCATTTCCGCTCTTGGCGAGAACGAGAATATCGCCGGGCTACGGTTACTACAAGATGCAGCAAACACCACAGTCTCCGCGCTGCAAGTTTTGAGTCAAGAGGATAGCTCCAACTGGCGTCAGCCTCGCCTGATACTTCTTTCATCAGATACATTGAATCCTACAGTCGCTGCCGCCCGTCCACGACTGGTGCACTGGGTAGTTAGCAACGCATTTTGTTATGCGTATAACGATCTTCGCAAAGCACAAGCTGTCTATGAAGCCCATCCACAGCTTTTACGGCTGTGTCTTGTACAGCCCCCAGCCCTGATTGAGGAGGGACCATCCGGGCATCTTATCAGTACGGAAAAGGGCTCTTTGACTGTGTCTTATGCAGATCTGGCGGCAGCCTTCGTGGAAATTGCGATTTCTGATGGGTACAGAAACTCTAGTGCTGTAACTATCTCGAGTGCTTCGAAAGATCAACTTCGACATGCACCGGAGCTTACACGGAGAATTATACGGGGGACTCTGGCTCACTACATTCCCTGGTATCTTGCGGTTGAGGAGAAGGTATGGGGGATGCTGTTTAAGGCATAGTATTAGGCCACCATCTGCAGATATAATTAGTAGCGGTGATGACAGAGCAATTCAGGACTAGGTAGTTGAATTGAACCTTGTGTTTGGCCACGTATTAACACCTAAACATCACTTGTGAAGTGGGGTCCATTGCTTGTCTACAACCTTGAACCATGCTTAGTGCATTCACTTACTACCTGTGAAACAGAGAGTCAATTCCTCGGACCAGGGCTTGAAGTCAACAGCCCCCCATGTCGGAACCAGCGGAGCTTCCAAACGCCGATACGCGAGGGGGTATAGTATAAAATAGCCGCTATTCTGAGTTTATATCAAGTCTAGCTCCATATTTTCCACCGTAGTTTACCAAAATCCAAAGCAGTTCTTTGAAAATCATGACTTGTAAACAAGAGTTCGATTTGCCTTCCGTCTCTTCAGTTGATCTACAGTCTCTCCCAGATGAGCGTTCCAAAACCGTGCATTCGCTTATGCAGAGAAATCACCAGGATCATGCAGTTTTGTCTGAACCACGACTCATCTTCCATAACCATGTGCCCCATGTAAGTCATCTTCAACGGAACTAAAACATCTCTAACCGGGGTATAGATGCTGGGATCAGCCTATCTACTAGGGTACCCCTCCGAGAAGCTGATCCAGATGTACCACAACGACTGTTCTCCGCTCAAAAACCTCAACGACATACATATCCGCACCGGGATCACACAGGACAACTGGAGACAGTTCCTGGGAAAAAAGAAGTACACACCTGCCTACATCCCATCACCTACCAAAATTAAAACTAACGTTTGGAACAAGGTACACAGCTGCATACACTACCTTCTTTGACCAAGAACTAGCCAACGCCCAAAACGATTGGAGAAGTGTCGTGAATGAATACCTCTTCAGCTATCCCCAACCCCTAATTAACGGCTTCGTCGGCGGCCGTAAGCTCTCCTCACCCCCATCTCGCCAAACCACAAGCTAAGCATTGTACAGTCGGCCACCCATTAATCCACCTCGCCTACGGCTATGAATTTTCCAACCCCCAAATCGCAGCCGAAGCGCTCAGTCTCGGCTGCACAGACCGAGACCCAATCCACGTCTACCTCGACACCCAGTACCCAGACACATCAACCTACAAAACAACCTCCGCAAAGGAAATCCTCCGCCGTGTGCACACCGATGCCCGCTTCTCCAACCTCTTCTCCATCCCAGGCTACATCAACGTCTCAATTACCTTCGCGCATGCAGAGCACGCCCTCCTCGAACACTGGAATGCGTGGGATATCGTCGACCCTGTAGAACAGTTCAGGGATGTGGTCGATGTTGCGGGACTACTTTTCATCGAGTCTCGGAATGAAGACGATGAGTATGACTTCCTTCTAGCGCATTTGTTGACCGTCGGGCATGCTTTGAGGGTGCTTTTGCCTTCGTTTCCGGGGAGTTACAGGCTGGGAGTGGTGAGACAGTTTTGGTTGTTCGTGCTTTATCTTTATGTTGCGCAGTTGAGGCCTGAGGTTGGGGATGGGGAAGACGTGAGAGAGGTTGAGCTACGGGGAAGGGATTGGGGGTGGGTTTATGAGAGGTGTTTGGAGGAGGAGTTTGGGGAGGACGTACACGTGATTAAGGTTGTGAGGGCGTTTAGGATGTTGGAGGAGTGGAAGAATGAGACGGATGGGTGGTGCTTGAGGGCTGCGGTGAGTTTTGTGGAGGGGTTTCGAGGCTGGACTGGCTTTGGGGCTGGGGTGGACGGTATCGTGGTTGAGGAATGACAGGATTAGCGGGTTGTCAACTACTAGGATGTGCCTTTCATGATACAATCTGCTATCCAGCATTTGGGGAGTTTCCTAGGAGTGGATGAGAGAAACAGGGTTAAAAAAGGACACTAAGTATGCTAACATCGCTGTCTCTCATGTAGCAGCTTGACAACTGTCTCTAAACAATTTGGTGATTTATCATTTGCATATTATATATCAATCAATGATCACTGTTAGTGATATCTACTGGTCAGGGTAGAAGGCATACTGAAATAAGTAAGGATACATAGGCTAGGGAAGCTCAACGCAGGTAGTGGATATTATTAAGACAGAAACTGATCTTTGACCTCCTATCACTACTAACAGATCGTCAATTCATGGCCAAAAATCCTGTATCAAGGGTCTCGTGATCTTCCATACAACATCAGCATGGCATGTAGTCTACTAATCATTGAGAAGCCAACGGATATGTGATATCACGTTACCGTTCGGTGGCCGATTGTCTATGCACCAAGGACAGGGTATACGGTACAGTCATCAGTCGGTTCAAATCATCAATGCTCATTTACGCCATAGCTCAGCGACGTCATCCCGCAAAGTCTGCCAGCAGAAAGTAAACTTTGAAAGTGTGAATTGGTACTTCTTTCTTTCCTCCTTCCCAATCCCCAGTATTCACGAACATGACTTTACTAACCCTCCTCTCCAGTACTCCTGTCATCGAACTATTTGGGATTTCTAGAACATTGGCTATAGCACATACAGTACCAATGTAGCCCATGATAGACCATACCAAGGAGCCACCTGGCAGGAATAGCCCCACCATAACTAACGCCTATACTAACTTAACTGCTACACCAACGCCTACCAAACATACAACATCGACGATAATGCTCTCCAGAGAGCCCATATTCTTTAAGCTGAGTTCTACTCAGTACCCTGGAATAAGAAATCAGGAGTTTAATTCTCACAGGCAAAGAGATACCGCTTGTTAAAATCACCAAATTTCGTCAAATCATTGCTCTGAGTGGTCTGCTGTCGGGCATAGTTCTAGCGCTGCTCGCGAGTCTCAATCTTCTGTCCTTTCGTTGTTTTGTTTAATATTTCGAACTCTGTTGGATATATCCTTTTAGTAGGAATTCAATCCTTTCTATTGTATGGCGTCGGATATAACAGCCTCGGATATAATGCCACGCGACGGGCGATAAGATAAAACCTTAACACCAGGAAAGCATTCCCATTGGACCGAGAAAGATCTATTTACTAATGAAAAATTATTCAGAATGAGTCAAAATGATTAACTGACAGATTTGTAAAACCCCGAGATAACTCTGAGATACCCCTCTCTATATATCTTCTGATAACTACATTGGTGTGCGCTTCCCTAGATATCGAGTTTCAACCGCATAACCCCTAAAAATCCCACCATGACCACAACAACCACCACCACCATCACATCCACCGCAGAAGAGCCATGCACGCTCATCCCGATCAACCTCCACGACTCGGCGGAGTTCGCCGAACTGAAGCAACAGCGCAAAAAATGCGGCTGGGACTATGAAGACGCCAACCTCATCGCCTGGCGCGACAAACAAGACGCGAACCTCAAATCCTTCTTCTGGATCACCGTCCCTTCACACTCCACCGAGCCTGATGCGCCTCGCATCCGCGCCGGCCACATCTCTCTCGACTCCTACGCCAGTCCCCCCGACCCCGAGCTCGCGACGGCCGATCGCTCCACCCTCACCATCCAGACCTTCTTCATCGACCCGACACACCGCGGTGGCCTCGGGCGCAAAGCCATGGATATAGTCGAGGCGATGGCGAGCCAGGAACCGTATGGCAGCCCGGACTGTAAATACCTCACGCTGAATGGGCTCAGCAAGCGGTATTTCTACGAGGAGAGTCATTTCTGGAACAAGCTGGACCGAGTCCGGCCTGCCGTTTGTACGGTGGAGTGGTATGAGAGACGGGGTTATGTGCACTGGAAGTCGGAGCCGAGGTATCACGAGCCCCTGCTGGACGGGGAGGATGCAATCATCTGGGCGGACTTTTTGAGAAAGCCCTTGCGGGGATAGACGTGGTTAATGTGGTACACTTCGTCAGCTGGTGACGTCGGAGTGTGGTGAGGGGTTTGTCGATACTTTTCGAAGGGGGGGCTCTGTACATATGGAGCGTGGTGTGTTGTACTCTTGTTTTTTTCTATGTATATACACTTATGGCATATGCTGTGGTAGATCTAATGAGCAACGCGTACATGAATCACCTACAACCCTGACCGGGACTGACCGGGACTGACAGTGTGTCTGAGAGTATTACCCGGGAGAGTAAGCGATGGCGCAATCGAAAGACCAAACAAGCCTCGTCTGCAGCGCCATCCCCATGAACCCCTGGTGCGCCAGTACCGATCGCAAGTCCTGAAACATGCCTCGTCTATTCGGAGTGTATACGCGGTCATTCGTCGATGATCACTATGGAGAAGGCAACCGAGGACGATCAGCGCATCCCTTGCGTCAAGTTCAAGGGGTCGGAAAACACATGGAGTTCCTGATTTTACGGAATCGGTGTATCTGCCAATAATTGGCCGATCATGTCCCGGAACTGTGGTTCCTGAACGCTCAGGCAATGGGGCTTGTAGCTTAATTGTCCGCGATGAAACGTTGATCTACGCGCCCTGAGTTCAATGGTGTCAAGTGTGTTCTTACACATCGCGATCTTCATCCGCCTTGCAGCACTTCGGCCCTAGTTTCGATAGCTGCTGTCGCAATATGTTGGCTTCTGCCAATAAGGTGAACAGATGGACCTTTGCCAGGGTAGATGGGATGGCGACATCTATCTCATCATGGCGATGATTTGTCTGTCTGCTTGATGATCAGCTCTGAGACACGCTGAATGGTGCACACGTAACTAAGGGAGATCAATTGGCAACCACTCGGTTGTGATGCAGCAGCAGCAGAAAAGTAGACCTCCTGGATTCTCTGGACAGAGAGTATAAAGCAGGCCTCGCGACCGGTGGTTCTTGTGTCTCCCATCATCATCATCACCACAACCCTATCAACTCAGCATCCCATTTCCTCACTCATTCTTTTCTACGCACTACCAAAATGAAGGCCGCTACCATCCTTTCTCTTCTGAGCGTTACCGGGCTCGTCGCCGCGGCTCCAGCTCGCAACGGTTTGTCTCTCGAGCAAAAGTGTAAGAAGCTTAACTGATGATTAGTAGGTCCTGCTGGCGGAATACTCGCCCGCGACCCTCCGGCCTCTGGCCAGGCCGATGGCGGCCAGGGCACCAGTAGTGACCCATTGGGTGGCCTTACCAAGGGACTTCCTCTTGTTGGAGGTCTCGGGCGTCGTGAAGGCCCGGTAGACGGAGCAGTCTCCGAGAACCCTACCGATAAGCTCCCTACCGACAAGCTGCCCACCGACAAGCTTCCTACTGGCAAGCTTCCTACCGAGCTCCCCACCGACAAGCTTCCTACTAGCGGACTCACCGGCGGCAGCCCAACAAACGGCCTTCCTGTTGTTGGAGGTCTTGGTGGTCTTGGGGCCCGCGACGAGCACCCTGACCACGACGATGAGTCCAAGGGCAAGCAGGATGGCCATGGCGAGAAGGATGGTAAGAAGGATGACAAGAAGGATGACAAGAAGGATGGTAAGAAAGATGGTGAGGACAAGAAGGATGGCCAGGCCAAGCGCGATGGCCCTCATAACAAGACACCCGGCCATGGACACGGATCCGGCCGTAGCAAGGACTTTACTGCATAAAGGCGAGGTTACCCAACCTGCATCCTTGGTGGTCATTGGTAAATAGCAACAAAGAGGTGTGTCAGTTCCTCGCGGTGTCATTGTTCCTGCGATTGAAGCTAGCAATGATCCTGTATGTACGATATTTTCAAGCATATTTAAATCGCCCTGTTTATACACTTGTTGTACACTTGTTGTAGATCATTTTTTTCACCTCTCGCGACTGTCCAGCTTCGAATGGTTAGACACGGAATAATCCCCCAATAGCATCATCTGCCGGTGCTATGTTGCAACGGCCATGTTTTCTCTCGGCCAGCCTAGAATCCTCTTTAATGATGTGCGAGTCTTGGGTTACACCGCTAGAAGCTTTGCTACCAATGAACCAGCGGCTTGTCCAACGGCTATCGGCGGTTTTTAATGAGGATCTTGGCAGGGAAGGGAAAGTGAAGGTGGTGGTGATGGAGCTAATGCAGGACGAGGGCTGACTGATAAGACGCGATTTCTGCGGGGGAAAACAAGCCAAAATGCGCCTATTTAAACAGCGTCAGGATTTCCGCTTCACCAGCCATCCCTTGATTCCTGCTGAGCTCGGGATTTTGTCCACCATGAAGGTACGTTAATTTCTATTGATGAATGATTGTGGATTAAATACAATCAAGCATTGAATCCGTTATAATTAACTCTTCAAAATCCAGTACTCCAAGCTTCTGCTGCTCCTGGTCGGCGCGGCCCAGGCTCTAGATGTGCCTCGGAAACCACACGCGCCCACCGGAGACGGCAGTAAACGTCTCACCTTCAATGAGACTGTGATCAAACAAGCAATTACACCTACCTCGCGCTCGGTGCAATGGCTCTCGGGCGCAGAGGATGGGTCCTACGTGTACGCGGCGGAAGACGGTAGTCTCACCATCGAGAACATCGTCACCAACCAGTCGCGCACGCTCATCCCTGCGGACAAGATTCCAACAGGGCAAGAAGCATTCGACTACTGGATCCATCCAGACTTGTCGTCGGTGCTGTGGGCGTCCAACCACACCAAGCAGTACCGGCATTCGTTCTTTGCCGATTACTACGTCCAGGACGTGGAGTCGCTGAAGTCCGTGCCCCTGGTGCCCGATCAGGAAGGTGATATTCAATATGCGCAGTGGAGCCCGGCGGGCAATACCATCGCCTTTGTTCGCGATAATGACCTTTATGTCTGGGACAATGGCACTGTTACGCGGATCACCGATGATGGTGGCCCCGACATGTTCCATGGCGTGCCAGACTGGATCTATGAAGAGGAGATCCTGGGCGATCGCTACGCGTTGTGGTTCTCGCCGGACGGTGAATATCTGGCTTACTTGAGCTTCAACGAGACTGGTGTTCCGACCTATACTGTGCAGTATTATATGGATAACCAACCACTGGCTCCGGCGTATCCGCGGGAGCTCAAGATACGATACCCCAAGGTGTCGCAGACGAATCCGACCGTGACGTTGAGTCTTCTCAACATCGCTAGCAAGGAGGTGAAGCAGGCGCCGATCGACGCGTTTGAGCCAACGGACTTGATCATTGGCGAGGTTGCCTGGCTCACTGATACCCACACCACCGTTGCCGCTAAGGCGTTCAACCGTGTCCAGGACCAGCAGAAGGTCGTCGCAGTCGATACGGCCTCGAACAAGGCTACCGTCATCAGCGACCGGGATGGAACAGATGGATGGCTCGATAACCTCCTCTCAATAAAGTATATCGGCTCTATCAAGGCGTCCAACAAGGCGTCCAGCAAGGCGGCCTACTACATTGACATCTCCGACCATTCGGGATGGGCGCATCTCTATCTCTTCCCCGTTGCGGGCGGCAAACCTATCCCATTGACCAAAGGCGAATGGGAGGTCACATCGATCCTGAGTATTGACCAGGAGCGCCAATTGGTGTACTACCAGTCGACTCAACATCACAGCACCGAGCGCCATCTCTACTCCGTCTCCTATTCCACGTTTGAGGTCACCGCGCTAGTCGACGACACCGTCGCCGCGTACTGGTCTGCTTCCTTCTCCGCGAACTCGGGCTACTACATCCTCACATACGGAGGCCCAGACGTACCCTACCAGGAACTCTACTCGACCAACAGTACCAAACCACTCCGCACCATCACCGATAACGCCCAAGTCCTTGAGAAAATCAAGGACTACGCCTTGCCCAACATCACCTACTTCGAACTCCCCCTCCCCTCCGGAGAAACCCTCAACGTCATGCAGCGCTTACCCCCCGGGTTCTCCCCGGACAAGAAGTACCCCATCCTCTTCACCCCATACGGCGGCCCCGGTGCCCAAGAAGTGGCCAAGAGATGGCAAGCCCTGAACTTCAAGGCCTACGTGGCCTCCGACAGCGAGCTCGAGTACGTCACCTGGACCGTCGACAACCGCGGCACAGGGTTCAAGGGTCGAAAGTTCCGGTCCGCCGTGACCGGCCAGCTCGGGCTCCTCGAAGCAGAAGACCAGATCTACGCGGCACAGCAGGCCGCGAACATCCCCTGGATCGATAAAGATCATATCGGCATCTGGGGCTGGAGTTTCGGCGGCTACTTGACCAGCAAGGTCCTGGAGAAGGACACCGGTGCTTTCACGCTGGGGGTCATCACCGCCCCTGTCTCCGACTGGCGCTTCTACGACTCGATGTACACGGAGCGCTACATGAAGACGCTCTCGACCAACGAGGAGGGCTACAACACCAGCGCCGTCCGCAAGACCGACGGGTTCAAGAACGTCGAGGGCGGATTCCTGATCCAGCACGGCACCGGCGACGATAACGTGCACTTCCAGAACTCAGCTGCGCTGGTGGATCTCCTCATGGGCGACGGCGTGTCGCCGGAGAAGCTCCAATCCCAATGGTTTACAGACTCGGACCACGGCATCAGCTACCATGGCGGCGGCGTCTTCTTGTACAAGCAACTAGCCCGGAAGCTCTACCAAGAGAAGAACCGACAGACGCAGGTGCTGCTACACCAGTGGACGAAGAAGGACTTGGAGGAGTAGATACTACGCTTTCATCCTATTCATTCATTCATGTTAGAGCGACTGGCTACACATAGCATACATAGCAATTGATCACTGAGTATTTTAATCTCCAAACCCTCTCCCATTGGCCCCCACCATCAACTAGCGCCACGAGGCTGAAGATCTGGCCCAAATCTACTTAAACCTCGTATCCACCCAGTCACCCCCAACCCAAACCATCCCAAGTACATAAAACAACACAAAACAATCCCCAAAGCAAAAAAAAAAAAATGGCCGAGATCCCGACCTCGACAATCCAAATCACAGACCTCCCCACCAAATCCGTGACAATCACCCCGCAACGCGCGACCATCGTTCGCGAGATCCGCACTTCAATCCAGGTACATCCATCCATCCATACACACCTACCCATACATAAGATACACACCACCCTCTCCCCTCTCCATCCAACCCCTAAACACAAACCCAACAATCACATAAACCACCACAGCCAAAAATAACATATTAAAAAAAAAAAAAAAAAAAAAAAAGGACA